TCTGTGAAAGCGGAGTCAAAGTCGCGGTTGTAGAGATGCGACTTGATGGTTTGGATGAGGGATTTGATGTCTCTTTCTTTTCCTTCTTCTTCTCCATCATCTTCCTGCTGTCCTTGTTGTTCGTTTCCTAGCAACCCGTACTTGAAAACATTGAGCAGTAGCTGCTGCAGCGTCAGCGGGATAGCAGTGCTGCTCGTCGAAAGGTCAATTTCATCTTTCCCCCCTCCTCCTCCTCCTTCATTATCATTGCCGTCATGCTTTTTCTTCTGTTGCCGCGTCTTGTCAGGTAATAGTGAGGCTTTCTTTTTCCGGCTTGAATTTGGACCTGCTTTCCTTGCTGCCGGTTTTCCTCCTCCTGTCTTTGCCCCCTTTTTGTTAGGGGCCATTATATATAAATAATATACAAATAATATAGATATATACAGGTATGATTTTTTTTATGATATATATATATTTTTTTTATAATTATATGTGTGTTGTATGTACATGACAGAAAAATTAAAAAAAATATATCCATTTCCAAGTCGTTCTCCGTTCAACGGAGCGGAACGCTAAAGCCGGCAAGCGGGGAGGATATCTCCCACGTGAGAGCAGAACAGGTGACCGGTATTATTACCTGCTGCTTGACTGCCGCAAAGCTGCCTCTTGCTTCCCAGCATTTAATTACAATCTCTCAAATTCATCTTTAATCTAGAGAGCGCTTATTTTGATCCAAATACTCTATCTAAACAGCAAGAGCCATTATCGCCTTCAAGGATCTCACTATGAAGCCAAGTGTTCACCATCTCCTACACATCCGGCCAATCAGTAGCTTCGATACCGGCAATGCCATCAATGTGAGGACTGGGAGGTCTACCCAGAACTGTCTCGATCAAAATTGAGTCTTCCGAGAGCGAGATGGTGAATTCTGGGGCCCAGGGCTAGGGCTTACCCTGTAGCCAGCTTGCCATTCTATAGGGAGCGTGTCAACCACCATGCCATTTGGTTTCCAGCTGACAGGCATGTCATTGCTCTTAGCGACGATGGAGCAGATTTGGCACTCGCAAACGAGCAGAGCTCGTGCCAGCAATTCCTGCTTGGTTGCCTCCCGGTCGAGCAGTTCTGCCTGAGCAGGCCTTCTTTCTTCGACTGGTGTCCGACTTTGTTTCTTGGCCCGTCGCCCTCGATAAAACTGTGTCAGCGCGCTCACACAACTGCCCAACCCAACAATGAATAAAATCAGCTGGCCGGATGATCCTAGAGAATTCACGTCTCGGATTCCATTCAGCCAGATCGACAGCTCCATGGTCAGCACTGTCAGGACCAAAATCAACATGTCACACGTCATCAGGAAGGGGAAATTGTCCAGGGAATTGCGCTGAACCAGCCGGACCAGCGCATTGCGGAACCAAAAGAGACGGGAAAAGCGCGTAGAGGGCAGAGGTTGCTTGTCGTCGCCGGTCCGGCCTGATCGATAGATCCGGTCAATATGCTGCTGCAGATTGATCTGGACTTCGTCGACGGTCTGGATGTTTCGGATCAGTTTATGTCAAACGTTGGAATTGCTTCGATCGGAAGAAGGGATGGTCGCACTCTTCTAAACGAAATGACAAGTCCCCGCAGACCCATGCCACGGCTGCGATCTGGGACCTGGAGATCAGCGGTTCCCAAGTGCCTGTCACACCCGATCGAGTGATTGTCGGAGCATACATTCGACGAGCCAAACACAATCTCATGCATCTCTCCCACGGGGGAGAAGAAGGCATCCCAGAAGACGACGAACTTTGACTCCGGCTTCGTGTCGATTTTTAGTACAAGCAACACCGTCAGCAGGATGATGCAAACGGATACGGAAACACCCCGATCCCCCATGCCAGCCATTCGACCAGATTGAAGACCTTGTGAAGCGTCCGAAACCAGCCGGTGAGCTCGACGGCGCTGAAGAACCATCCGACTGCCGGGCATCCGTCTGGGGACGGTGGCATCGTGCCCACGGTCCTCCACCAGAAGTCGGCCGTATAGACCTTCCACATCCCCCAGATCAGGAACCGGGACAGCGCCGCCAGACTACCCTCGGCGAGCTCCTCCGGATGCAACCTCAGCGTGCCGTTGAGTAAGGTCAAGCTGATGCCGTTGCCCAGCGCGATGACGATGTACTGTTCGACGACCTGCAATCCTCCCGCCGCATTGGCCCACGTTGTGCTGACCAACGCGACAAACAAGGCGATCAGAAACCAGAGATTCGTCGGGCCCAGGGCCGCTGCATCTTCCGGATGACCGAACGAGTCCACGAAGGCCGTGGAGAGCAGTTGCAGGTAGACGCCAATTCGGATCCCCAGGCCGTACATATCTTGGTTCCCGCTGATAGGGGAGCAGGCCGGGGCTGGGGATCGGGTTGAATGAAGCGAGACTGTTTGCCAGACAGAGAGGCCGGTGCCTACGACGAAGGCACCGACGAGCACGCCCAGAATCATTCGTGGATTCTGATACATGGTGAGTTGCGGATATTATTATTATATCCCGATGTAGGGAATGGAGGTGCAATCCACGATGCAGCACCAAAGATGCCACCACCAGGCGGGTTCTAACGTTGTCGACACAGCCTGAGAAATCGAGTCGGCCACCTACTTACGCCTTACGCCTCGAGTATATGCACCCGCGAGAAACCACCTCATCTGGAATAAGTACTACATGCATGTCTATGTACATACATACCTGGGTAAAAACAGGGAACAGTATATGCACGGTTAAACACCTTTTTTCTGCATACCAAAACCATTCTTTGAACTGGGCAGGTATACAGAGTCCATTTTGAGGTGGCTGGCTGACAGCCACGTCAGAGGCGGGACTCACCTCGCTAGGCCTGGATTGTAGTGCGGCTGATCTTCTGTCTCTTCACGTCGAAAAGAAAAAAAAGAGAGACCCTGCCAACACACCCCAAATTGAGGGCCCAAGTGGGCGGCTGCATCAGTAGATCGAAGAACGCTGCATCTCGCCCAAATTTCATCCGACGATCTGCCCATTTTTATTCGGCGATCGCCCCGCTTGTTCGACCAGAACAGAACCGTACAGGCTTGTATTTAACGACTTCTCAATTACTGCCTGCTGGGTAGTAACTATTGATCGATCGATCGACCGACCGATCTATTTGGAGCCCAGCCGGGTGTGATTGGGAGAGTTCATTTCATTTGGTTAAAAATACAATGTCCTACATTTGACGAAGACGACGATTATTATTATTACAGCGACGATCATGACGACGACGACAACGATGATGATCCCGCATGGATGAATCCTCGTCTGCCTATTCAGGGATCTTGGCAGAATAACAGTCCTTTGTCGGTTTGGCATCAGGGAGACGACGACGTCGACGACGAAGAAGACGAAGAAGAAGACGAAGAAGAATGGGAGGACGATGACGATGAATACGACGAAGATTACGACGAAGAATGGGCCTTTCAGATACGACCATCTCAGCCGCACGACCGCTGGATCCTCCAGATGTCTCCCTTTCCATCTTCCCAGTCGACGGAGCCTTTCGCTCCATCCTGGCCCCAATACGGCGACGTCAGCGTCGAATTCGCTCTAGATCAGGAGTCCCTGCAGTTGATGCATGGGACCAGCCAGCAGGACGACGAAGAGCTCTGTCTGGCTCTGCCGCTGTCGCTCTTTCTGCCCCTTCCCCTGGACTCTGGTCCGTCATCGTCTTCTTATCCTTACCCTTACCCTTACCCTTACCCTCGATACACGCGGCCTCAAAGCGTCCGAATCCTGTATCGCGAGCTCAATCCGAATCCGAGCAAGGGAAACAGGACCTTCCCTCGGTTCTTGACGACTGTCTCTCCCCCGCTCTTGTTATTCCAGCACTGGGCGGTTGAGGTGAGCCCGCGCGCTTGAGAAAAAAAAAAAGAAAAGGGGGACATGATCAATAACACCATTGCTTATGGATCAAAGGTTGGCGACCCGGGAGATGCCTATCTCTTCGAGCTGCAGTACCGAAAGGGCGGATCGAAGTTGCGCGTCACTCCTCCGGGGGAGGTCGCCCGGTATCGATACAAGAAGATGCCCTCCTGGCAGCATCGCGCCTGGGCGGGCAAAACCGCCTGGCAACTAGAAGACATTCACCGAGAAGGTATGTATGTATGTATGTATCATGTATACTCAACATCTGGTCCAGCACAATCCCTTCTTCTCACCGCTCGCTGACTACGTATGTGCTGTACTGTACATTTACATCTACCAGCCCAACAGATCATCGACTCACGGCCCAAATATCTGCTGGGCATGTCGGACTGCCAGCATTTCGCCATTGACCTGACGTACCGGATCGTCGCGAAACCGTCGGCGTCTCTGGCCGCGATGAAAACCCTCCGCTCCAAAATGCGACCCGCCTTGAAGACGACTTCGGTCGCGGTTACGCGCGTGATGGAGAAGATGCGGTGGATTCGAGAACCGATCGGGATGGAGCCCTGGAGGATGTTGTGAGAGAGAGCAGTCACCATCTACATACATAACTTGGAACGGAAACCATCGCATATACGAGAGTGGAATAGCTTGTGCAGAATCAATGGGATTTCAATTTTCATCTAATGTCAAACTTCTAACCAGATTTCGTGGCCTATCTTCACAGCTATCAAGAGTAAGCGTCAACTGCCCCCGGAGTCCGCCATAGTTGGCTGTCGTCCTTGTCCATTTGATGCGGAGTACGTGACCAAAAGGCAAGGGGATTCTCGTCCCAAATACCGTCTTCTGAGTCTCTTGGATTGGATGGGTTTCATCCTGTCGTCCTCGCTCTCGCTTTCGCTTTTGCTCTCGCTCTCGCTGTCTCACCCGTTCCCGTTCCCGTTCCCGTTCTCGTTCTCGTTCTTGCCCCCGGTCTCTCCGTCGTCTGTCGCGATCTCTATGCCCCTGCGAGGATCGTCGGTCAGGCTGGACCGGTCTGGCCGGCGGAGGATCCATGTCGAATGGGACATCCTGAACAGGCAATGGAGGATACTGCCTGGACGCAGACGCAGCCATGCGTCTTTTGTACCGTTGGATCTCCGCCAGAAGATCCTTGCGGTCCATGAGGAGTTGTTCTCGTCCGGCGGCGGACGCGGTCACCAACGCCTGGCAGTCTTTCACTTGGCTTTCGAGGGCAGCGACTTGCTCCGTGTCGTTGGCCTGGCGGGCTTCCTCGAGCTCCGTCTGGCAGTCGGCCAGGTTGCGCTCCTCGCGCTGTTCCTTGGCCGTCAGTTCCTGGAGGACGAGCTGTCCGACCGACGTGTCTTGCAGCCGCTTGCCCTCCTGGACCATCTCGCGCTGGACGTCGAGCGCCGCCACAGGCTTCTGCCGGAGAAGATGCTCGACGATCTCTTGCGCCGACTGGGCATCCCCCGTGTGTCGGAAGACTTGACTACCCCCCTGGACCATTGCGCCCCAGAACTTGTCGTTGCTGATCAGGGCGTTCTCCCTCTCCTCGCCAACCTTGTGGCTAAATCCCGTTTTTTCCAGCTCTCCCCACATGGTCGTCACCAGGGCAATATTGCGCCAGCAGTCCGGGCCACACAGTTTCTGAAACACTTGCAGGTTCGAGAGCGCGGAGCCTTGCATGCGCACGTCGACAATCCGGTGGAGGTAGATCAAGCCGGCGAGCTCGATGCCCGCCTCGTAGATACCGATCAAGAACGCGACAAGGGTTTTCAGGATCTCGACATCCGAGCGACGGGTATCGTTAAATCCGGGCGTGTCGACCAGTCGAACGGCGAGGCCATTCGGGGTCCGATAGGAATAGCTTCCAATATCGGCGGTATCTAGTTCCCCCAGTCGCACATGAGAAATCTGGGGCCAGATTGGTCATGGATGAGGGGGATACGTATCACGCACGGGAACCCAGATCGTGGCCGATTCCAACATCCCGGCCAACCACTTGGGAGATGAAGCTGCTCTTCCCGGAGCCAGTGACGCCCATCACCACAATCATCGCCTCTTTCTCCCTGCGAACCGCGTGAGCAACTAAGCTATATCCGTCTACGACCATTCGAGGTGAGGGCAAACGGACTTATACAGATCAGCTCCGGTGTTGGGATCGGAGCGCGGAGAAGGGGGCTTTTCTTCGGCCATCTGGACAGACGATGGAGATGCGCAGAGTCAAAGGATTCCGAAAACTCTCGTGTACCAGAATCTAGTAGGGAACGCAGTCCTACGCGATAGCAATCTCTCTTTCATAGTCGCCGCGGCCTAGTGACTCAACTCCGCCTACATATACATATACCAATCCATTATCATCAACCTTTCTCATCTGGCCAGGTAAGATATCCCAGCACATTTGTCGAGGGGGGGAAGGAAGGCCAGGCTGAACGACAGCGAAGGAGGCTGAGACTGACGCAGATTGGGGCCACGTCAGTGTCGAATACGTGTGGATTCCCCCGTCCAGGGTGGTGAGCTGTGCCAGGCGTCATCTCTGCGCAACGTCGTCTTCACCGACGATGAGTTGTACATGAGGATGGGCGTGGTGATTTTGAAGATGACCACTCGAGAGTCAATAGATCGATGCTAATCCGACAGTCGAACATCCACCTGCATCATTGGGCCTAAAACAGCCATGACCGCACTTGTCGCGTTCTCTCTGGACCACGGAGCTGGTCATGGGGCCCTCACCCACGATGCCTGTGGACACCGAATCAGTGTGACGGAGATCTCGGGCAGAGATGCCAACGAGATGGAGCTGATATGAACTCGACAGCCGCAGATCTCCGTCATTTAAAGGAAGACAGGATGTGATGTCCTCTTCTGATACCATCTCATATCAGCCTCGTCTCCATAGTATCTGTCCGTCAGACAGAATGGACCGGGATCGACGTCTCCGCGATAGAGCCTCCAGGCTTGACGCTCCTCACCCATATTCCCGGACTCCCCACTCTCCAAATGGAATGTTGACCGCGAGAGAGGAACAGATGATACCACCGACGTCCATGCCTCCAGCGCCAGACTCGATGGAACCATCGGCTCAAATCACGTTCGTGTATAGTTAGTTAGTGGCAGTGCAGTGGAATGGCGTCTGACACACAAGTTCTCTCTTATTGCAGGCCCGACGATATTGTCATCGCCGTCATGGGCGTCACCGGGGTGGGCAAAAGTAGCTTCATCGCCCATCTTGCCAAAGATCCGTCGACTCTGACTGTCGGGCACTCCCTGGAGGCATGTCAGTAAGACCGTTCCTACTTGGCTATTCTCTCATTCACACCTTTTTCCCCAGGTACGAGCAAAGTGGGGATCCATGAATGTGTCTCCAAAACGGACAAGCGACTTTTCCTGATCGACACCCCCGGATTCGACGATACCCACAAGAGCGACACCGATATCCTCCGGGAGGTTGCAGACTGGCTGCAACGGGCCTATCAAAACCGAATCCTGCTCTCCGGGATTATCTATTTGCATCGGATCACCGACGTCCGCATGGGTGGTTCTGCGATGAAGAATCTGCGCATGTTCAAGAAACTCTGCGGGGATAATGGGCTGGCCAACGTCGTCCTGGCGACGACGATGTGGTCTTCCGGTGTCGATGAGAAGACGGCTGTGTACCGAGAAGAGCAGCTCAGGACGCAACCGGACTTTTGGGCCAAGATGGTGGAAAAAGGGAGCAAGATCTTTCGGCATGACCGGGGCGCTGCATCAGCCACCGAGATCGTTGACTACCTCATCTCCCGGAAGCAGACCGTCGTCTTGGACATCCAACGGGAGCTGGTAGATGAGCGGAAGACGCTTCAGGATACGGCGGCGGGGGCGGAAATCCAGGCCGAGATCGAGCGGCTGAGATGCAAAAGGAGATGCAGAAAGCCATCTCCCGGCGGGACCAGCAATACCAACGAGAAATCGAAGAGATGAAACGGGACATGCTCGGGCTCCTGAAGCAAAGTGAGGTAGATAAGGAGAAGCTGCGCGCCGACAAGGATGAATTGCGCCGCCAGATGGAGCGCGAAGAGTACTTGCGGAGACAAGAAGCGCGAGCTAAGGAGCGCGAGGTCGAGGACTTGAGGAGGAGAGTGGCCCACATGGAACAGGCGGCGGCGAAGACCGGGAGAACAGACCCCGGCGCCGGCTATATGCAGCTTTTATCTCATGAATCAACAAGCAATGATCCAGGATCTCAACCGTCGGCTCGATCAGCGAGAGAGGGAGGTGGCTGCGTTGAGGGCCGAGAGAGAAGATAGTCTCTGCATTTTCGTCGGGTGGAGGAAGGAAGCGACTGGAAAGAAGAGGTGTCTGTTGGACCTTCCTCCTTCTGACTTTTTGACTGTATCCTTCCAGCTTGTTTCGAGAGAAGGAACGAGTGTGCAGGCAGGCATGGCGACTAACGGCCTCGGTCCTGCGTACTTTGCAAACTATTGAACTCATCCAGTTTCGAATGTGCGCCAATTTTAATGACTCATCTCAACGTGGAATAGACTTCGGCCATTTTTAACTAATTGTATTTTACCTGTTTCTACGCTAAATATTAATATTCTCAGTTGTGGAGGATCTATCTCCACCAAGGGCTTGGGGTGGGAGCTAGGGCTGCTTAGGTCACATGAACCTTCCACTGCGGGCATGTAGAGACAGATCTCCATTAGCAGGACCTATGTGCATCAGTCCTCCTAGGACATAGGGAGCAGCTGAGATGAGAAGGATATGGTGTCCTGGGTCGTATGAGAGCCGGCCAAGCTTCGAGCTGAGATTATTCAAGGGAGATGAATTGTCCTGATCGGTGTAAGAGAAGATGCCTGTCTGACAAATAAAAACAGACCTTATTATTTAATTTTTCTAATGGACTACCACATCTCCCTGCTAGCTTGGGCATCCTTCAGCTACTCCGCTGCTGCCATGGTGCTGAGGCTGGCGATGGATTTTACTACTCTCTTTAGTGTTGAGATTATGGGTATGAGCATGTAGAGGAGAAGCTGCTACAAGCACTATTGTTATGGAAGCAATATGACGTATCATGCTGCCCAAGCAGAACTAGACACAACTTAGTAAGTAATTCTTATATAATCTGGCCCGTGCACGATCCGATACAATGAATGTAACCCTCAAGACCCGCTGCAGCGATACGCCGATACCATTATAGTGCTTGTAGCAGCTTCACTTGCCGCCCTTTGATTGCTATACTAAGGACCGTCCGTAGCTAGTTTATAAGGATCAGCGCTTTTTACGTATGTACAGCACACTTGCTTGATAGCATAATGTATCACAGGGGATGCAAAGATGCACTTTCCCTAAGATGTATATTTATTGGCAAGAAGGATAAGACCCAGTAAGAACATAAACCGGATATATATATATATATTTGTGAGAGTATTGCTCAAGGTGGTAGATAAAAATTGGCTCAACGCAAAAGCCAGTATATATATACTTCGAATTATCGCGCGGCTATTTTTAACTCTGCGATGTAGAACGCCATTTATTCGTGGTGCGAGAGACCGTAATAAGCACGTGTGTGGGTGAAATTAGAATAATACCTTCGCAGTTCGCTTTTGACTGCACTGCCCATTGTGTTGAAAAATGATGCTCATTCATTCTTCTTGCGAGTATGATTTATTTTATATATGCTCCGATGTTACATATATACATATATATATATATTTTTTGCTATCTCCAAGACTCGACATGTACAAAACCATGCAACAGGTAACTGTCACCAAACTGTCATTTCTCCAGCTTATTGTACAGTACATTTATTGTACATGTTCCACTCCTCCTTTCTCGGAACCAATGCCCGTAGTATCCTTGACGTCGGGCACCATTTCACGGAGCACTTCACCATGTTTGCCAAAGTGCCTTGGTTCGGTCCGTGCAACCCTCACCGCATCGACGACACCGGTGGCCTTCGCGAAAATAATGTCCATTTCCTCAAGCGAGCGGTATGCTGTTTCCGGATAGCACCAATAGAGGATCGGAATGGAGGCCGCGTTGAAGACGGCAAAGATGATGTAGGTGCGCCAGCCAATCGAACTGAATGCCACGGGGGTGATCATAACCACCACTGGGAAGCGAGTTAGTGTCAGCGTTAAACCCGATAGGAGAAGGACATGGGCATTTTACTGAAGTTGAATATCCAATTCGCCGATGTGGAGAGCGCATTTGCCTGCGCCCGGATCTCCAGAGGCACGAGCTCAGCCGGGTACAGCCACGGAATCGACAGCCATCCCAGCGCGAAAAAGGTGTTGAAGACGAACAGAAAAGTCGCGGCGACAATGCCACATTTCGGCCCACCGATGCTGGTCATGGCCGCCAGTATCGCCATCGAGACGGCCATCCTAATCAACCCGACTGATCCACCCGTCGCGTGCTAGGAGAAAGAACTCACGCTGGAGTGACAGTGTCGAGCAAAGTTTCCTGGAGCGGTTGGCCAATTTGAGAACAGATTGAATACGATCAAATTCCATTCATGACGAAACAGAGACGAACTACTCGCCCAGTGACCGGAGCTTAGGACATTAACACGACTCCTCGCATCCCGTGCCTGGAGACTCTGTCACAGGAAAAAAGCAGTCGTAAGTCTCGTCTACCACCTTACTCTTCCTTTCACTCACCCGCGTCGCCAAGTCTGTTCGTGCAGGTGCCGGAATTCCATACGGCCCCATCACACAAGATGATCCACTACTGGCCAAAGCTCACCATGGCAATGACTCTGAAGTCACTCCATCCATTGAGATATATCGAAGACGCCGAGGACGGCGATATTCCTTTCGTAGCGACCCCATCTGCAGAGTCAACCATGGCGGAGATTGAAGAGTGTATGATTTCGTCCTATCTGCACGCCATTGACCGAATCCAGCACCGGAGTTGAGTTTCTCCTTGCTCAACTTGGGGCCCTCAAGGCGATCCAAGCGGCAGGGGATCGCCTAGGTCGTTGTGGTAAGAGGCAAGTTCCGTAATCATTGTACGATCAACAAACTGACAGATTTCGTAGGCCTGTCAATGAACAATGGTGGAAAGATCGCTTCGAGGACTGTCTGAAACTTCATCACATTGTTGAGAGGTGAGGTTAGACTTTTATCATGTCAACGGATTTCAGTGACTAACAATGCTACCATTGTAGTGATATTCTACTCACAGTCGATGGCTTGCCTTCGGTGACAACGGCCTACTACAAAGAGCAGCTCACAGTCGTTCAGACAGTGAGGGAGTTCGAGGACCTCTCGAACAACATGTCCGTGCCAGTCCTCACCCGAACACTTCAAGGGCAGGCAGTGTACGAATCCATCTTCGCACTGGCAAACCCGCAGAATGGAATCCTTGCGACGCTTTATACAATCAAGCAGGCCTGCTCGCACGTTCCTGGTAAACAGTCTGGCCATCATAACCCAGCACCTCGACATCCTCCGGACGAAGGTTCGCTTTCTGCAGCAAGGCATTTGCAGCCCGCGCATAGACCGCACCGGCCGCGTAATTGAGGCGTGTCAACTCGAAGATGGTTAGCTCGTTGTTGAACGCGCGGAGGACCTGGCTCCGCAGCTTCTCGGACCAGTCGATCGTCAGGCCATCGATGTAAGTTGGTCGAGTTGGGTGGCCGTCCTTGGCGAGGTCGATTGTGCAGAGCACGGCGTCGATGCCGTCGAAGGAGCTTGCCGCTGTTTAGGCCGATGATGTAGGGCATTTTTTTTTCTAAACAAGAGAGTGTAGTCTGGTGGATGGAAGATTAGTTGAGAGAATAACAGCTCGTGTATATGTATGACTGTGTGAACCCTAGATATAATCTAAGCACCCGGGACAGATTCTCCCCGGCGCACACTCTTATCATTATTCCTCCGAATCCTGTATTACGGCAAAAGTAGCTACCTAGTCAGTTCCCTACCTAGCTAGTCATCTGCTGTCTGGCTGTGATTGATTAATTAGTTCAATCAGTTAACTCAGTTGATCGGAAGGGCTCCGCGGGGAACCTTCCGAGGAGGAAACCCGACATTTATCCATGGTTAGAAGAACTTTCACGGACCTCCACTTCGTACGGTATAATACTATTACTTGATGCTTGATTAGGCGACGGCTGTGTTCGAAGAATGGACGCCTTTCTTTCCGCCACTCGCACACGACGAGTCTGTTGTTCTTCGCTGGGAAGTCAACCTTAAAACTAACGTATCAGCCTAGAATCTACTACCCTCTAGGATATTTATTGTATTGTGGTAGTCAAGAAGTGGAGATGACTCTCTGTACCAATACTAATAACTTATATACTGTACTGAACATACTTGCTATTTCATAACTATCAATAATAATCACTTTGTCTACTACTAGTAGATACAATTTCCTTTCCTTTTTTATACCATGGGTTCTGTTCTAGAGTACATTTTTTTTCTTACTCCTGTCATTTTTTTCGATACTCTTTCCCAGCTTATCCAGGGCTAGATTAATCAGACTTTGTATATACACTAGTACACAAGCATATAGGTATAGAAGGAGAGTGCGTGTAAGAGAGAGAATAGGAGTAAAGCGTTATTAATTTACTTACCAGTATTAATTAATACTGATACTTATTTAGAAACAACACTCTTACTGTACTGTACAAAGGCGTAGCACACTTCATCTGACTTACGTACTTACCATTTACCATCAATAATTGTGTTAATTAATCTGTCAGTTGGCCTGAATGAAAACCCCTGCAAACAAACAAACAACATGTTATGACAATAGTATAATATTTCTCTCTCTTTTTTTTCCCCGCATGCGCTTCCTTCGATATTTTTTTTTCTGGCTGCTCTGACTCAAGTCAAGACCCTGATCATGGTATCTGTTTATTTGTTTCCAGAAGAAAAAAAGAAAGAAAGATGGTCCGTTCGATCGGAGTAGGATGCTGAATAAAAAATATTTTTTTTTAAAAAAAACCATATACTTATCTCAGAGAAGGAAAACATAGCATTCTTATACAAGGCAGACATATTAATGAAATAGATGTTGGAGCAATATATATGCACGGACTATGTATAAGATCATGCCGACTTCCCAAGAGGAAGCGCAAGAGATAAAGTAAAAAAAAAAGAGGCACCACTACGCTATGACTAGACCTTCACTAATCATTTTTTTCTTAATTCAATTTAAATATTGTACTGTATTGTATTGCATTCTCATGAGATGCTATCAACCAGTCAGCCAGGGAGTCAGGCAGGCAGTCAGTCAACCAGGCAGTCAGACAGCACCACACCAGACTGACTTGCTGAACTAAACTGACCTGATCTGACCTGATCTGATCTGATCTGAGTCGAATAAAAATAGAAACAGACATAACAGCTCAACTCAAGCAAGCATCATTATTATCGGGAAAGAAACCAACCAACTTCAACGCTTAACCCGACATTCTTGCTTGTTTGCGTGCTTTCTTGCTTGCTTGCTTTCTTGCTGAACGATAAACGATAAACGATAAAAACAACGACATCTGTACGTACAGTACAGTACGTAAAAATTTAAACATTAAGAGACGAAAAAAAAAAGGTCCTGTAAGCGAGAGTCTAGAAGAGTGAAGATAGTCGGTCGACTGATTGACAGACGGAGGAAAAAAGAAACAATTGCAAAAAGAATAAAAAAAAAATATATAACCTTGCTCCGTCCATTCGCAAGACGTTCCAGCGAAACAAATTGTAAATCAAATTGTAAATAAAAAAAAAGTCGATGGTCATAAAATAAACGATCAGAAATTCGAAAATCCAGCTGGAGATGGGCTCTCCTTCCAACACATCTTCTTCGCCTATGGCTTCACTAACAACGTCGTCGTGCATATTTACAACCTACACGAACAAAACACGGACATGAACGCATGATGAGGGAATAAAAATAAAAAGGCCCCGTTGACAACCCACAAGAGAATCCACAAGAAATCCACAAATCCACAAATCCACAAGAAACGATACGAGAAAAACGTGCGCCGCCATTAGCCAGGACATGTCATACCGTCAGTGCGCCTGATACCGAAAAGACAAAAGCCAGAAAGAAAAACAGTCGACAATCATGGCTGCTTCTGATTCAGTCTCCTTCTCCCTTGGACTTCTGCTTCTCCTTCGTCTTCCAGAAGTGCATAAGACGACTGATCCGGTGGCCCTTCTTCTTGGTCTTTTCATGTTCGTCTGCGGGCGGCTTCTCTTCATAGCTCAGCTTGCTCTTCTCTCCGTGCGAGGCGCCCACCAGTCGAGACAAACTAACCAGACTCGTCCGTTTAGCCGTATGCGAATGACTGGATCGAGGCCGAGTCGAGAACGACGCCGACCGCTCCCCAGAGGAACGGGCATGGAAACCCGACGAAAAGCGCGGCCGGTTATTCGTCCGGGTGGAAACACTGCTGGTCAGAGATGGTACATCTTCGATGGAGCCTCGCGTCTGGTCGTGGAACGGAGGGAAAGAAGTCTGATCGGTCATCGACGACGCTGTCGCCGAACGTGGAGCTTCAAAAGAGATGTTAGACGGATCAGGTGACGGAAAGGCGGAGCTGGAATGCGTGTGACCAGGCAGCGGCAGCTGCGGGACAGCATAGCTACTAAAGTCGACCGGAGACGAACAAGGGCGTTTCTCGAGAGACATAATGTGGGAAGAAGCGTCCGAACTGGGTGCGTTCGGCGCCTGGGACGGCCAGTCATCAGATTCAACGATTTCAACCGACTTCTTCGACTTTAGAGACGACGAAGCTACTTCGGCCTCCCCGGGCTCATCGTGCACGACCGCATCACCAGGGCCATCTTCCACAGCCGCATCCGAAGACGACTCCCCTGGCGCCTCCACCTGGATACCCAGTCCGTCGTCCGGTGGATCGCGATCGGCCGCAGTTCCCTGAACCACGGTCTCCAAGGTGTCGCTGCTGGAGGGCTGTGCGCCGTCAGCCTCAGCCGAGCTCGAGGCAGCCGAGCTCGAGGCAGCCGAGTCTCTCCGGGCTGACTGGCCATCTGCATTGCACGATTGGTTCTCTGCAAGAAAGGCATCTTCCTCCTCTTCATAGAAGACATCGGCGTGCGCCATGGTCGAACTGCTACCGAAACGGTGGAAACCAAGAGCACTGCGGTCAAACGGTGGCATTTCTGGGGCACTTTCGGCACGACGGTGGTAACGCATCTCCGGTCCGATGAACTCTCCCCGCCGTCCACCACTATACATTCTCCTGGATGCGATCGAAAACGCACTCCCGGCCACGCGGCTGGAGCTCATTTCGGGGGTATTGAACGGACCCAGGGCAGCATCCAGATCAATCACCGGGCTGAACGAATCGTTGTCGAGATTCTGCTCATAGAAGCTCCGCGGTTTCCATGAGTTCTCGAAGGTGGTATCCAGGCGTGGTTGAGGTGGCTTTGGCGCATTAGGGTTCGTTGGAGTCCGGATGATGACGATGTTATCGTCATCAAAATTCACTCCATCCATGGACCCGATATCAGAGTTGGTTCTCGTGATTATCGGCGGAGGAGTCGGGCTTCTCCTCGGCACCTTGACATGAGGTCGTTTACTCTTCAAAGGGAAAATGGCGTCCGCCCATGAGCGCATTTTCTTTTGTTTCTTGTCGGATTTGTGGGATTTCCCGGTGGACGATGGGGCGTTCTCAGCGCCCGACCGTGAATGAATGCTGGAGGCTGATTCACAAGTATCACCACCGGGTTCTCGTGTCGTGTCGACGGCTTCATTCCCGCTAGGCGATTTGCCGGGGCTTTCCTCGGAACCACCACTATCCCCGAGATGCTTCTTCTGCTTCTGCTTCCTCTTCTTCTTCTTTTTCTTCTTCTTTTTCTTCTTGTCCTCCTTCGTCTCCTGGTCATCTGACGAAGGAGCAGGGTGCGATTCTGAGGCTTCAGGGCGTTCCTCAACGGGTCGTGGCAACTGCAGGTCCCCTGGCGAGAGGTTGTTCCCGCTTGGTGAAAGAAGCATGCTCGCATCGGCTGTCTTGGGTCGCACCTTCGGTGCAGAAGGCGATGTCTCGACGCGAGTGCTTGGAGCAGCGCTGTTTGATCGAGAATGACCGGGTCGCACTGTCGCCAGGCTGCTCGAGGTTTCGATGGAGACGGTTGACACCGGACGGGGTGTAGCCGGACCTGGTGACGGCGGTGCGAGACCTTGAGAACCCGGGTGGAGATAATCGGTCGACTTGTTGGCGGGAGAGGCAGGCGGAGACGGCCGGTGCAAGCTTGTCGCTGACTTGGACATTGGTTTCGAGATATCATCGTGGAATCCATGGTCTGGGCTCTTGCCCGCAGGAGTGCACGGAGCACTTCCACCGGCGGGAAACGCTTTGGCGAGAGTGGTCAGATCCATGCTCGAAATGGCGCCTGAGCGGCGATGGGCATGACCACGCCGTCCAGGGCCTGGGGCACTGCGACCGGCACCAGGCGGTGGAAGATTTGAAGAATCGGAGGTGGAAGTCTCGGGATTCGCAGGGCTCGTACTCAACATGCTGGGACTTGGAGGCCCCTCCCCGCCGATGAGTTCACTTGGCCGCCGACGATGACCCTGACCCGGGGGCCGATTCACCGACAGGGTGGATGTCGACGGGCTGGGAGCGTGGATATTGCCGGGATTGAAAGAAAAGGCGGGGAGAGGAGGCGGAACATGGGGCACAGGCTCATCACGCTTGTTGTCGGAAGAATTCGTATCTCGGGCGGGAAAGACGAACGGGGGATTGGGTGGTCGACCAGAGACCGTCACATTGCTCGCATCCTGCTCACTCTCACAACCGACTGAACCCAGAGCCGGAGGGTGAGCAGACACCTGGGTCTGCGGGGGAATCGAGATGGAAGCCATAGTGGACGACTAGCCCCAGGACTCAGCTGAGAACCTGCGCTGAGAACCTGAGAAAACGGTAGAACAAACAACCAAAAAAAAAATCACCAAAAGAAACAAAAAAAAGGCCTTTCACTCCAATAGCACGAAGAAAAGACTCCCGACCTCTCCTGTGATCCAGCTATAGCAGGCCTCCAGACCGTCGAGAGACTTTCCAAACGGCGTAGGGGGGGAAAGTCCGACTAGGGCTGGAGGCCTTCAACGTCGCCCCGGCAGCATGGAAAAGCAGGTCTTGAGACCAAAGCGGCGATGTGAGGGCGGCTGAAGAGAACGGCGGTCGACTCGCAACCGGCAACTCAAACCGTAGGGAACGAAGGACGGACGATCGGTTCTCAGCGATCCGGCAACAAGACGAGGGCGAGGGCGGACGGTTCGTCAAGACACTGCGGCGACGGGGAGGTGTAAGGAGCGGACGGCCACCAGACAGGGCCAGGAAGGAGGGCGGGCAGGGAGGTAAAGCTGGAGGAGAACAAAGGGAGGATAGGATGGAAGGGGGAAGGGAAGATGAAGATGGAGATAATAGAAGAGGGAAGACAAGGAGAGGGAAGGGAAGAAGAGCGAAGAGGATTGGCCTGGCTGGGGGCCTTTTGCTGGTGAGCTGGCGACAGGCACGCACGGCCCGTGATTGGCGCGATGGGGGCGCCGAGGGGGCCGGCTCACGGACCCAGACGCCTTGGAGCAATCTGGCTAGAGTATCGACGATGCTGCTATTATTTGTCCTGCGTCTGGCACGATCTCCAGGCACACATACGAGAGCTTTCTGTATTTTCTTCCGAGTCCCGCCGCCCGGGCGAGCCCGAAGGCAGCAACGGAGAAATTGACAGGCGCCTTTGCTGCACTGCAACGACAACGACTGCAGCACCTGCAAATGCAGATGCAAATACAAAGGGAATAGTCCTGCTGCAAGCTCCCAGATGGTGGCGGACAATTCACATGGTCCTGCGATTGGAGCGGTAAGAATGCTCCTCTTACACGGGCTTCCGTCTGGATACTCTGCCGGATCAGGAATTTAATGGATCGAAGACGTCATGACCCAGGAAAGCATCCAGAGCCGCTCCGTAGCAGACTACGAAATTGCCTCACATTTGACCACCTATAGATTATATTATTTTCGCTTCGAGAGAATTCCACACAATCCTTCTCGCCTCAACAGCAGCCATACTGCGTATGCACACACATCGATGCGTCTTCGTGGAGTCGTTGACAGCAGCCCGGCCCAGCCAGGGCGGGTGAACTGTCCTCCAGGCTAGCGCCGGCTCTGTCTTGGCCAATGAACCCATCTCGCTTGCCCGGGGCTAGGTTTGCCGGCCTCGACGCTGAAACATTGCGCTGCAGCGGCAATTCCTCCTTGCACGCTGCATGCGTCTGGCCCACCCTGGCCAGCGCTGTCAGCTCAGCAGGCCATCCTCATGGGGGATCGTGCATTAATTGATCGATTATTCACCCGGAAACCAAAGTCATTGTTCCGTGAGACGATCGAGTATGGAAAATATAGTTAGCGCGCTTGGAGAGAAATCGATCGAAACTGTTGCAAGCGAGGATGGATGTGGTCAGTCAGTACTTGTATTGGTCAGCCAGTGCTCGTGTTCTCTGCAATTTGATGACACTGACAGCAGCTTCAAGGTTTCCAGCCTTACGGCCGTTCAGCTCTTCCAGACACGGCTCGAGTGGGCTGGTTCCTGTCCTCCGTTGTCGTCCTCGCCAATCTCAGAGCTCGAAGTGTTCTTTGTACACACTCATCCATGGTTCCATCATCGCTGGCCGTTGGAGGTGAGGTGATGCTGCGAGGTGATGCTTTGTGGAGGTGGACAGACGCGGTTTCCACAGCCCACCCGGGACAGCCCGCGCGACGGCTCTGATTGGCCAGATGGGCATCTCTGCGCTGGGCGACGTGGACAGCCAGCGTCAGGAACTGCTGAGTCCTTTTTTTTTTGCCCCTTTCTATTTTGAAGCTTCTCCACACAAGGGTCAACCTGGGTTCATGTTTGACAAGGCCCTGATGCGACTGCGTGGCTCCTCCGCAAGAGGGCCAAAACACCTGGCCCAATCACGCCGCCGCGGCAAGTGGAACATTTCTCCGCTCCTCGCGCCAGCAATCCGCCAACAGGAGAATCCGCCGTCCTCCGCCTGGAGCCTGCACCGCCACGGCACGGCACTATCCACCCGTTTGAAGACGATCGCCGCTGGAATCATAACGATAGGCAATTAGTTTCCCGGCGCGTCGCTGGCGTCGTCGGTAGTGTCTGGGTCTGCGCGCTAGCATGGCGTCCAGAGTTATTAATATCCCGTCAGGTGCGTCGATCGGAATCTAGCGAGGGCGGTGCGGCCAGTGTTGAGCCACAATTTTCGGTTCATGACCTAGACCGGGAAGTTGAAACAACTATGGGTTGATATTTTTGTTTATTGAGATCCACCGTCTACAAAAATAATCATGCTGTCAATAAATGACGCAGCGAGTGGAATCTCATCCAGATCGACCAATATCTGGTTATTTACTGACCCTTCTGCAGCATTGTACTGGCATGGCCTGAGATAATAATCGCCTCAATTTCATTTCATCCAGATCGTTCTCGACTTGGGCTACTAACTCAATTCTTTGCCGAGAAGATAGACGATGACAATTCGGCCCCCAGTGAAGAAGGGAGGAGCAGGAGGTTAGTTAGTGCGTCAGTCAAAGTTAGATTGCTGCATGCATGTCTCGCGTGTTCCATGATGATCTGCTGCAGTTGAGATTGATCCCTTGATTGATTGACAATGTGACTTGACAGGGCTGGGAGCACGATAATAATCATAATAATGACAGTCTATGCACAGGCTGGTGATGATCTAGAAGACAAAATCAATCTCCGATTCCTCCTTACTAGTCTAGAGTAAAAGTCAACAAAGCAGGGTTGGCAATTACTTCCAGTCAGTCACTCAGTCAGTTTCCAGTGCTATATATTATTATCTAGAAACGAGGAAATCTTCCTACCAACCAACCATCAATAATAATAATAAATACCTACCTAGGTATCTCCCTGACTACAAGACCAAATTAAAAAAAATAAATAGCAGATAGATAAAACAGTCAGAATTATGCACCTAGCTAGCATCATCAGGTCCATCTAGAACATTACTACCTTAGGTTAGGTATGTACTATACCTACACTGCCGAGTATCTATCTATCTTCTAGCGTATACCTATGTGTTGTTTTCGGGAACTATTGATTTCTATTCAGGCTGCAGTGCAGTGCTCCGCTTACAGACATACGTACATACAGGGATCAAGGACCAGGATGTAGGAGAGTTTCCAGTACTCACTACTTACTTATTATTGTTGTTATTACCTAGGTAACTAACTGGCCTTGTTGTCCTGTGTGCTATACTACATACTGGGTACCTAACCTAAGAGAAGATGTCGTGACTGTTTTTGGATCCGCTGCGGTGGAACACAAGTTTCTACTTCGGTATATACCTAGCTACTAGGTAGCTACCTGGGTACCTACGGTAGGATGTCACAAGACAACTTGCCTAGGTAGGTGGATGGTGAAAAGAAAGACACCTTGCTATTTATTCAATTTCACATTCCCGCCAAATGCTAATTATATATAAATATTTTATAACGCCACACTCCTTGCTTGACAGATTCAGACCGCCCAGGATTGTACAGTACAATAGATCCCAGCCAAGTATGAAACACAAGATACACATAACTATCCAAATACAATGTATTCAAATACAATGTTATCTCTCGACCGCGCTAGGCGCCACCGCGAGAATCACCACCAGACTGGCCACGATCAGACCCGCCGCCAGAAACGTGACAAGCACCACGCTGCCCCGACCGGCGGGGAACTTCCCCCGAACAATCCAATACTGGCTCTCAAAGTAGCGATGGAACCCGATGAGGAGGATCAGGATCCCGATCCCGATAAACGTGGCGCCTAACGGTTTGCCGACGTTGGCAAGGCGGCTGCTGCTGCTGCTGCTGCCGCCTCCGGCTGCAGACACGACGATGAGGTCCAGTAAGGACGACGGCTCCTGCGACGGTGGCAGGATAGGTAATCCTTGCGTAGAGCCCTCGGAAGATCTCCTAGATGACATGGACCCGCTGAGGCGGAAGAGTTGTGTCACGGCGATCCCGATGGAAGCAAAGGCGAGGGACGTCCGGAGCCAGGCCAGGAAGGTTCGCTCTACAATGCCAGACCAGTTGTGTTAGTACAAGTGGGTAGCAGCCAAAAAAAAATGTTGTTGACTCAATGAAACACACCTAGTGCGAGATGATCGCGCGCAACGCTGCCCTTGTTGTCCAATTCCAGTGCCCCATACTTTTCCACCAAGCGTTGAAACCACGGAGGCCGACTCTCCGGCGCTGCTTCATTCGGCGTCGACTGACTGCCAGCACCCGCCGTGTTTCCATTCCTAGAAGACTCGGCTCCCTGTTGTGTATCCTGGGCGGGATCGTCGGCATTATTATTAGTTCCAGGCTCTCCCGGGTTGTCTCTCGACTGGACTGATTGGTAGTTGCTTCGTGTGACCTGAGGATCTCCGCCTATGATCGGAGTATTCTCACTTGCTGGCGATGGTTGTCTGGCTGCCATCGCTCGTGGTGAATGGCACTGCCCCTGGTAGGCGTCTGACCACGAAACGGTCCGGCTCAACCGGCTCTGGTTGGAGGGCGACGTGGTAGAATGTTGACCGCGACTGGAGAAATTGGTGTCCTCCGATGATCTCTGACTTCTGTCCGCCTCAACCGCCGTAGTACCGGGGGGATTCATCACGGCGTGCTCATAGGCGGGATGAAGCAGGAATGAAGTCTGGCTCCAAGATGCTCGGCGTACAGCTCCGCGATGGCGATAATGCTACTGGTATAGTTGTCCAGCAGCAGCATATCGAGAAGGAGCATTCCCGGGCCTTTCAGGCGTCTGGCGAGCTGCTGGCCTTTGATCCATGGAGAGCCGGCTGGACGCAGGGCGGGTCCGTCAACGACCTCGAAAAGCTGGGGTTGACGCTAAGACGTTAAGAGCGCAGATCTAGGGCTTAGGGCTGGCTGTGGTTGGCTGGGGATAGGCCAGCTGACCAACTACTAACCATATTAGTCAGAAAAATAATCATGTGACTGGACTGGAGTGACGGTGGTTGGCTGCAGAAGGCGGTGAAGGGGGCCTCGCATTCTGCCGCCACCGATCCGATGACATCGTCAGACCACTCGATCGCTTCTCCAGCGTCCTGTCATCGCTCTCTGGCATAGCCGCAGACTGATGCGTGTGCATTCCAGCGCGAATGTTGATGACGAGACGTGATTATGGCTGCCGTCAATTCAGATTCGTCCCCCAAGCCGGCAAACGGGGCCGACCTGTCCAAAAAGCTCGCTGAGCTGCGTGCGGGGAATCGCAGGAAACGAGAACCGGCCAACCCCGAACCCCCTCCCTCCACTCCTCCGCTTCCAGAGCCGCTCGACCTGTCCTCCCATCGCTATATACGGCCTGTACGTCGCATCCTCTCTCAGAAAGACCTCGAAATCTTCCAAACGTCGCCGGCCTACAACTTGATTCTCGCCTGGATATTTGGGCTCTCTGATTCGGTGCATGGGCGTAAGGTGACTGACTACAAGGATGTTCCGGTCTCTTCCAGTATAGAGAAGATATTGTCGATTATAGGCCTGATCGGGTCTCTTGTCGACAAGAACCCCCCTGTCGACCAGGGTGGGTCTCGGTTTGGAAACCCGGCGTTTCGCTCGCTCTTTGACGATGTCGCGGCGCAGAGTCCAGCGTGGCATCGAGAGATACTGGGAATACAGGATTCCGAGGCTATCGACGAGATTTCCACATACCTGATAAATTCGCTGGGATCGCGAGATCGATTGGACTATGGCTCGGGCCACGAGCTGAATTTCATGATGTGGCTGCTCTGCCTGTACCACCTGCGATTTCTCTCCTCGGACGATTTCCCGATCATTGTGTTTCGCATCTACCACAGCTACATGTATCTCATGCGCCGCATCCAGACGACTTACTACCTCGAGCCTGCTGGCTCTCATGGTGTCTGGGGATTGGATGACTACCATTTTCTTCCTTTCCTGTTCGGAGCGGCTCAGCTGGTGGACCACCACTACATCACACCCCTGGCGATCCACAATAACGCGATCCTGGACGAAGAAGGAGACAAGTATTTCTATCTGGATCAGGTGCGCTGGGTCGATAGCGTCAAGACGGTCAAAGGGTTACGCTGGCACAGTCCGATGCTGGACGACATCTCGGGGGCGAAGAACTGGTTCAAGGTGGAGAGTGGGATGAAGAAGATGTTTGTCAAGGAAGTGCTCGGCAAGCTGCCTATCATGCAGCACTTTCTGTTCGGCAGCTTGATTCCGGCCGCCCCTGAGATGGGGAAACTCCTGGATGGGTCGGAAGGCGAGGGACAGGGAGGTCACGATCACAAGCATGTGCACACTCACGGTGAGGGTTTTTGGGGCGATTGCTGTGGCATCAAGGTGCCCAGCACGATCGCTGCGGGAGAAGAGACGAGGAAACGGATGGGGGGTTCTGGGCTGCGGCCGATTCCGTTTGATTAGTTGACACTGATATTTGCATGGATTTACCACTCATGGTTGTCGTTGGTAATTATACGGACTGAAATCTAAGTAACATACTCCGTACATGTGTCCTCTGACTGGACTCGAAGAGTACCACAGGCAGGGCCTTCTGAATGTATTGTATATAGTAACAGTTTGAATGACGATTTTACTTCAACTCGAATAATTCGCATAATTACATTGCAGTCTCTATAATGCTCTTCTTGAAATGCAATGCAATAGAATAGAGCGCCATTTGTACGCTATTCATCATCGTTATGGATGATTGATGCACTCTGATTGGCTGTACGCATGCCAAGCCCAGAATGCTCTCACGTGAGCGCCGCCTTCGGACTACCTATTTCGCCATAGCGGGTTTTGCCGTAGCAACTAGCAACCTCTTTACATTACCAACACTCCTGTCGCAACTTACTAAGACAGACAGCATCCAGCGAGCTGTCGGACAGGTCAATGCATGACCTGCGCAAGGGCTATGGAAGTCACCAAACCAGATTAAATTGATTTCTCTTTCTTTCTTTCTTTCCTTCTTCCCTTCCTGGCCTAAGGAAAGCACCTACCTTTGGCCCAACACAACAAAAATCTGAATTGAATTGACTGCAGCCTCTACATATATAAGGTACATTCATACATAATTTACGAATCATGGCACCCGGCGACGAATACTCAGCCGTCGGCGGAGGCGGCAAGCTCAAACTCAAAGGCTCAAAAGTAAAGACGGCCGGATAGAGAAGAAGAAAAAGAAGAAGGAGAAGAGCGAAAGCTCGGCTGCTGCTGCTGCTGCTGCTGCCGCGGCGAACGAAGACGCCACTGCCGTTCGTCGCCACTATGAAGATGGCGAGCGCGAGGGTGGTGGTGATGAGGGTCGTCAGTCTGAAGGGGAGAGGGTGATTTACCAGACGGAGGCGGAGAGGAGGTATGAGGAGCAGAAGAAGAAGAGGGTACATTTCCCCCCCATTCAAATATCTTATCTATCGGGCTTGCTTGCTGACTTGACTACAGCTCAGCGAGCGTCTCAAGCGCGAAGGCGTCAAGACGCACAAGGAACGCGTCGAGGAGCTCAATCGGTATCTGAGCAGTTTGACGGAGCATCATGATATGTACGTATCTGTCGCCATCTCCATTGTCATTGTTTTTCACAAATTGAACTGCATGCATGTTACATGGCCTTGCTTACCTCCCTCTCCTGACGTGGTTAATTACGATTGATTCATTGATTGATTGACTAACATGATTTTTTTTCCCATACAGGCCCAAGATCGGACCCGGTTAACAAGAACCGAACCGAACAGAACCCGAACGAAAATCTGTCAAATCAATCGATCAATCAAATGCGACATTTTTTCTTTTCGATCTTGCATTTGCCTTTTCTCCGATGGGTGTTTATGTATGTATTTTACTACTGCTTAATCACATCTAATCCCACAAATGAAGTCTCATGCAGAGAGTACTGTACATGTGTATGCATCTATGAAGATGAACGTTCTCAACATTCAACATTTCTGTTTTGAATTTAAAATTCATGATTTTTCTTTATTATTCCTTTCTTTCTGTTAGCAGGGATATATCATTGGATAAGTTTTCGACTTGTAGACAATGATTATTATATTAGCCTTGTCCATGCCTTGTCCAGGAATACGAGTCATGTGATGGCATATCATGCCAATACAATAAAATCCCTCCCCCAAGTCTTCATCTTCCTCTTCTTCAGGCTATTCCTACATACATCACTGCTCCACTGGATAGAATTGTTGACCAATGTACATACATACCTACTCCGTACAGCAGTAGGTAGTACTCCCTACTCCGTACATACTCTGTAAAGCGGCGCCACTCACCTACCAAAGCGAGAAGGTCCGTCGATGCCGCTCGAAGGGGGATCCTGTGACTTGTGACCTGTCTCTCTGGGACGGACTTTGGCTCGGCGGAGTGGCGGGTATCTTGAGTCACGGTGTTGCCACATAGGTATCCTACGTAGTACAGTACATACATACGGAGTACAGTAGGTAGATACATGCTCTTGATTACTAATGGAGTAGTATACAGTTGACTACGGACTACTGTAAAGAATACAGTTTACATGAAGAAGTTCTGCGAACCCGATGGTTAAATTCAGTATGAGAGGCTTCTATCTCCAGTTCTGGTCCAGTTCATTCCTGTCTGAACTGAAGTGAACTGTCGCCGCAGACAAGGGTATTAACACACATTGTAGCCGACATAACATACATATCAATGTTCTGTCTCCCGAACATAGATATAGATGGATAGATAGAAAGCATCACCCTCAACCGATCAAACCACGTCTAGTAGGTAGGTACCTCATCCGGCCCCCAGCCGCATGAAACACTGCCACGACAGAGAAAATAACCAAGATATAAAAACACATGGAATCGAGGTGAAAAAACGCCGAGATGAACGCCCGCCTAAGAAAATCGGCCCGAGAAAGAGGAAATGAACGACCAGTCGCTCGTTATCAATGTCTGTCAAGTCCAAGGGAGCAATGTTTATACTCCCTTGATCACCGTCGTCCGCTCGCTGTTGAGCTTATCTGCGTTGCGGGCATGTGACTCCCTCTTGCAGTCTTCCAACCCGCTGCAGTTGTGGGATTCGAGCATGCGGTGTTTCTGGCAGAAGTGGCCGTTGCAGAAGCTGCAGTCGCCGATGATGCGCTGGGCGAAGTCCTTGCAGTCCTTGAAGCTGCAGCGAGGCTTGCGGGGAGGCATGTTGGTGGATAGTGGCGAGAGATATGTAGAAGCTTCAAGGACTGAGGATCGAGAGAGAACTGTAGAGTGTGTTGGATGGTGTTCTGACCACGCCTTGATTGATTGTCTTGTTGTAGAGGGTTGTCTTGAGCTCGCAGGAAGGAGTCACGCGGTGGCGGAGGTCGACAGGTGTCCGATAACGGCAGAGATAACGGGCGGTGAGGAGGAGAGTAGGAGGATAGGAGACGGTAGTTGAAGAGATTGCAGGTGAGGAGCGGCTGTCGATCAGTTGGTAGAAGCAAATTAGTATTTATAGATGGAGAAGAGAGATAGAGCAAGGGAAGAAAGGGAGGCCGCAGCGAGGGACAGCCAGGGTGTATATAAAGGGCCTGCGTGACCGGAGGAACCGAAACGGGAGACGCTGACTCTGGTTGGGCCTGTGACGGTTGGCCACAAGCGCCTGGCCACGGATGAGGTGACGATCGGACGCAGGATGAGTTGGGAACGCGGCGTTGAGACGATGGCGCCGGTGGAGGCGAATGCCTAGCCGGTGGAGCTTACCGCATCACATCCTCTTTGATGATTCACCCAGCACCCGCGACCCTGTCGGAGCGTCCCAGAAGCTTCGAGAGCGCCGTGAGGCAAACTCTCAGGCCGGATGCGGGCGGTCGAAAGCTGGGCCAGCTTCGGGCCCGTCGGATGCTTCCAGCGAGAACCAGCTCCTTCTGCGCTTCCAGACAGGGACAACCGAAGAAGGTCCTGGATTGCCACTAGCCGACCCGTGGATGGCCAAGTCACATCTGGTCCTGGATAAGCGTGTAGGCGCTATTGCTGACTCGTCGCTCGCAGCCTACCAAGTGCGGAGACTGGAGCTGCGGGCGGCTAGCTCAGCGGCTAAAGCTATCGTGCAGCAGCCTGCATCGCCAGCACTCGCTAGTTGGACCAGATGACGTGATGTGGACGATTGTGGACAGCAGCAGGAGGACTGCAGCATCGGCCTCTTATACTCCGTAAGGCATTCGTCTCCATGCCAGTAAGAATAGCTATCTGCTTAGACACTGTCGAAGGTGCCTGCCTATTTGGCGTTGTCGAAACGGGAAGGCGGCGAGCTGAGTCATGTGCCGTGTCCGACCGCGGCTTCCTATTCATATCTGTACTCCGTAGTTGCCAAACTCAATTCTGTCACTTATCTCAGGCATTCCAGCGACTAACTATTGCATGGTCAGCGCTGCCGAGAGTGACCGGCCAATAGTCCCCGCGCCGCTCTCCTCAGCATTCCTCGTGCGTGCGCTGAACCAGCATCCCAGATGATCCTCAGCTCTTAGCAATCATAATGCCTGCTTTGCACGCTCATTGGGTCGCCGGATCTTCTGACCTGGATGGTCTCATCTCGACTCTCTGCCATGCCAAGTGAAGTTATGCCGCGTGGCTCGACCAGACAATAGTCTCGCGCCTCGTCGATCTCTCACAATCAGAGGCCGATATTCGCTTCGATAAGCAACCATTCCATATCTCCCTCCTCATCTAGCTAACACTTCGTTTTCTCAGCGTTTCCAGTGACCATTCCGGTTTGACGGCCCGTGTCAAGTAATACAGACAACAGAACAGGTGGACTCGCACCTCAACTATGAGCACATTGTCTACTGATGATACACAGAATGTGCTGCAGATTGAACACTCTCTCTTCAAGACGACACGAATAGATTATATGCGTACTCGACTTTTCTCCGACCACTAACTACTGATTTTGCACGAAATTGGGGAGAAAGAGGGTTAAAGAAAAAGACATAAACTCTCTGATCAATCGACAACTGTTACAATCCTTCATATGGAAAAGCTATGAATTTTGTCCGAGACCAGTCATCCATGTTGGATATGTAGTGCTCACAAGCGTCATCGCAGCTCGCTATCACATGTCTCTGGTCAAGAAACATCCCGCAGCTACAGAAAGGTTTCAAGAGCTTTTTTTGAACAAGCCCTATCGAAGGGAGATTTTCGTCCCCTTCCCGTAGATCTCGACTGAGCGCGACAAGATCAAAGTTTTCCGAGACCCAAGGATCGCCTTCCCGAAGCCGTCGATATGTCAGAAGCTCTGTTTGTACTGCAGCAAAGAGGGTAGCAAGGATCGGAGACATTTTTGGTATTTCGTGGTAGTCGCAGCAAGCTTCTGGATCGTATTCCTGGTCCCTCAAGTCACTAGTTTCGGACGTGGACGACTGTGATATCCAAAGAACGAGGCGAAGGATTTCCCAACCTGTTCTGGTTCGCTCCGACCAAACTTCTGCGTATTCTGTAGGGACGCGGTCCGCAAGCTCGGCTGGAGTGAGCCGTTCATGTGTGCAACCAGTGGCCTTCGATGATCGGCCAAAGAGCGATTCGGCTGACACGTCAGCCTTCTTTGTGGGGTCAACCTCACAGTACAAAAGCGTGAGGAGACATGCAAGCATCCCAAAAAGATCTTCATCAGTGCATCCATTGTTTGCGAGATGAAAAGCAGTCACGACCAACGTGTGAAGTGGCTGCAGTTGCATCTTCAATCCGCATTCCGAGCAGTGCTTGAGGAATATCCCACTCGGCAGATCAAACCGATCAAAGAGAATTTCCGAGGAATAGATTAACATTATGCAATGGCAGATTGCCTGACTCGAGGTGTGGCAGAATTTATGTTTCCAGGTCATCGGCACACTTCCTTCTCCTGTGTTCAGAAGAGCACGAAAACATTCAGAGTCAGCATCCCAGCGGCCGCATACGTCAACCTCTTCACCCGCAAAGCGTTTTTGATGTCGTAATTCTTCATCCACGTCGCCTGGAGTTGTCGATGTATGCGACTTCAGGATGGAAATCATGAGACTGTCAAGGACCGTGTGACCTAGGTTGTTGACATAAATATCACGCAGATATCGCAGAGTCCACTCTGCAGGTGGAAGACAAACGAAAACGCTAAAAACATTGCAACAAGATGTTACCCCATCGAGAAAGCTAATGGCTAGATGGAGCGGATAGAAGTCCCTGATTTCCGCGGCTTCAGACACGAACCGATCCCAAAGCTGCTCAGTTAATTCAACATTGCGTCCCATGATTGCGAACCCCAACGCTTCCCGTAGGAGCACGTCAGGGGATTTCGCTGTCGCCTTCACGATCTGTGGCACAGCTACAGGTAGCTCACTGGACTTGATGCTGCTGAAGTCGTTGCTCTCCAGTGCTGAGACGAGTGTTTCTTGAAAAGGTGGCTGCCATGGCCGATTTTCTTTATGACTTTCCTCAGGACTTTCCTCATAAGAGATTTTGCATTCATAGTGAATGCTCCAGCGACAGAGTGGCGACGGTTGAAAAAGCTCTCGTGGCTTTCTTGCGGCTTCGACACGATATTCTGGGCTTGCCGTGTTATGCGCAATGTCATCGGGCTCAGCAATACCCTGGGTCCGAGATGACCAGTCCTCCCAAGTTTCGAAGCCGAGACGGGCAGCGGTCCGGGTAGGCGGTCCAACACCCCAATATTTTGCAGCTTTGAAGGCGAAATACCAAAACTGGTGGAGCCAGGATGACATGACCCTGACCAAAGAAAAAAAAACAAGGTAAGTCTTAGGCCTTTGAAAAGTAGACGAAGGACTTACTCCGCTTCCTTCTTGTTCATGGACTTAATGAGATCGTCAAATCGGCCCTCAGTAAAGAGCCGAGCTCTATCGATGGGCCGTTTCATCGCGAGCGCTTTTGATAACGGAGACGGAGCAGAGATTGGGGATCTTGCATTGGCGGGAGGAGTCGAGGCCATGATGTCGCTGGGGCTTGATACAACCTGCCCAGGTGACCCGTGGTTTGTCCCGAGTATCCGATCCGGGGCGAGAACTCCATAAGGCATGTTCCACGCCATAAATCTAATCCTGATCAGGAATACCGGCGATATCTCAGGGAACTGTTTTCTCTGCTTACATGCTGGGGCCAAACTGAAAACCAAGCAGAAATTGTTGTATAGCCAATTGTCCACTCGCTGTCGGCTTTAAGGCTATCTCGCGTTTGCTGTCCCTTTTCACTTCTCGAAGAAGCCTCTTCGAGTCGACGGGTTTATTCCTGACGCTGAATGCTGTTCGCTTTCCAGCATCAGCTCTCTCCTGACCTTTGTCTAGCAGTTTTCGCTTCGTCTCCCGTGAAAAATTTTTCTTGATTTTCCATTTTTTGAAATGGTATTTGTACTGGTCTTCCCTAGAGAGGACAAGCATGCCTGTCAGCTGCAACTGCTGCCTTCATACTTGTTGCTGGTATGGAAAGTCGAACGATGGCTTACACTGCATCGAATCCATGCTCTTCCTTCATTTTGGCCACTACTTCGGCAAGTTTCTTGTTTTCATTGACGTACAGCTGCGTGATGATCGGTTTTAGTCTCTCCCATCTTTCCTGAAAGGGAACGTCGCCATAAGAAACGTTCCGGGAGGTAGCCATTGTGCAGAGGACGAGGCTGAAGTAAAGAAGAGAGATATCTATTTCGAGGGGTAGGAAGTGCGACTCTCGGTGATCGAAGTCAACGAAAAAGGGTTTATATAACCCTCCAGGCGAAGAGAGTATTCAAAGAGACTCGCCAAAACAAAGAGGTGTCTCGCGTTCTTTTGAGCCCGTTCTCCTTGAGCACGACAGCTGGGCATTCTAACTGTCACTGCTGCCTGATTGATTCAGGCATGCAGTGCACCAGCGAAGCGCTGCAAGGCTGAGGCTGAGGCTGACATATGGCTGGTGTGTTGCTTACTTAGCTGCAGTCGTGGCTGGAAGCGTCCCCGACGTACGCCCACAACGCCAAAAGTTGAGCGCATCGTAATGAGATTTTCCTGTTTGGATATTTGTAGCAACAAAGCCATCGCTTCCTGGAGGTTTGAATCATTAAATGCGAACCGAAGGCGAAACGAGGGGTGCTTATACGGTCAAAGACGACGGCAGTTACGAAACTCTGGATGTCGGTGTTCTCGTGGGTCTGTAAGGTTCCAAGTTAGGAAAGTGCATTCGGAGAGTCAACAAGGTCTGAAGCCGGGATAAGACGAAAAAGATTGTGCCAGGCTGAGATCGATCGCGACGAAACGAAACAAAATGTGAATACTCGCCAATAGCAGGAACTAACACTGCTGAGTAAATCCCACCAACCGGTTGGGTCTGAAAGTTTTCATTCGTCGAGAACATCGTGGTCACTGGTAACACTGTATTTTTGGTGTTACTGTCAGCCCTTGCTACGCGGTTTTTACAGTTACTGGATTCGATACGGTATCAGAGCAGATACATGTCAGAAGAGATATGGTGATAGAACGGTTGCAGACCTGCTATAGCTTTTCTAGACCTAAGAATCAAACTTGATTGAATTCTTGGAATCCCTGCTTAGTCGGACCCACAACTCGTTAGGAACGAGTTGTGGGTCCAAGCCATTTTTTTTAAGAGAACTACCTTTCTTTTTCAGGTATTTTGCTAGGCAAAGTCATAGATTACTACCACTAGGTTATCTACTATATTCTACTCTAAAAAGGGAGTAAGGTAGGATTATAACCTCGCGTGTATTTAGATCATATGACTTTTGAATCTCTAGTGACATGTACATATCTACATCTTAATACTGCATCTGATGCATTATGCAGTCATTGAAATCTGTGTAAGGAGCGATGTTCCTTCTAAACTACCTACCTATCTAGGTACCTACGGACGGTCCTACGCGATGTAATTAATGGGAAGATCCAACTAGTTGCCATGCGACATATCAATATTGGTATTGATACTGTATTACTGTATAAAACATCCTATTTTTCTTGAACATATTTCTGATAAAGTACAGTAATTAATATAATAATGTACGCTACCTACGCGCTAAGGAATGGAATAGCGTCATATCGGTCGCGTTCCCCGACTCTGCCTGCCACGTGTTATTTGACGACACGGAAGGCTGCCAAGACGTGCAAAAGAGTACTGGCCATAGGGGAAGCAACCCGCGGAACCCTCATTGTAGTTACTATCTGGGGTATTCAGATCACTCGAGAAAAGTCGTTGGATTCGCAGAACAGCTCGTCACCAGACCATGGAGGGCAAAAAGCCGTATGACGTGTCATTGCCATCCCTGGAGATGGCAATAGACAGGAATGGAGAAATGAAAAGCGAGCCTTGAACGAAATGCTGACTGAATATGAAAGCTGGCATCAAACCCTTCGATCGAGAATGAAAAAGAAAAAAAGAGAAGACAGAGACGCAGACACAGAAGCTCCTTGACAATAATACTGCAAGCCTGAATTCAATTGAATATCATTGTTGCTTTTTCAATTCAGTCCAATCCAATTCAGTTGACATTTATTTCTTTGCAGGATGTCATCCTTTACCAATCTGTCCAAGTCTGAGACAAACAGGTTCGTTCATATATTTACATCATATTCATATTCATGCATGAAGCTTTCATCAATAGGGGCCTTTTGCTTGCTTGCTATCTCTCTCTCTCTCTCTGTCTGTCTGTCTGTCAACAGTGAGGAAGCTAAACATTCTCATCCTCAGTGCCGGACTCGCCTGCCAGAAGAAAGACAATGATCGTCCACGCTCCTCTCCTACTGGAGAACAACAGAAATGTTGTTCTTCCTCAAGAGAGGAACAAAGCAGCTCTCAAGAACAGCAACAACTCACAACATCCCAGAACCAAGATTCCTACTGTCCCTACCACGGCCCCATCCTACAAATGGACCTGAACAACCGCCACCAGCTGCAGAAGTTGCAGCAGCAGCAGCAGCAGTCAACGGACCCAATGACGCGCCTCATCCATGACAACCATCCCGGCGAGCAATATGCGCTTTTCTACCGACCTGATGATGCCAATGACGGGAATGGGAATGGCAATGGGCAGCTGTTGTTGTCGACGTTTCGGGCTTGTACTTGTCTTGCTGCTGCTGTGGCGGAGGCAGAGAACAACGTTAGCGGTTGGCGGATTGATCTGAATCTTGATCTGCGTGTTGATAGGGATGAGGTCTGTGGGTATGATGTTGGTCTGTAGATAGATACTGTAGGTACTGCACAGGACTGCACAGGACGGGACAGAACAGAACAAAACAGAACAGGACAGGGCATTCTCTCTCTGTGCGTGTATATGTGTGACTAAGAATTCCATTCCTATTCAATATCATCGACGTTAGGCACATGTAGCTAGCTAGGTATGTAATAAACCTTGTTAATTAAACCTTTACTCAGGATTTAGCAAGCAGTAATAAATAATTTTTTTATTTTCCCCTTTCCCTCTTCTCCTATAGAAAGAGAAAAAGGAATGAAAGGAATTGAATTGAATTAAACCAAATTAAAATTGAAAAGAGGGAGAAAGAGAGAGAGAAGCTTCCGATGTAATTCATCCATTCATTCCTGAAACGTGAAAGAATATAATATAAAAAAAAAACCCTTGAACAATACACTACCCACCTACCTACATACCTACACCAGACTTATTTTCAACAAAGAAACGCCTTTTTTGCCAGTTTGCGGTATCAAGGACGATATCACGTAGAAGAAGAAGGAAGTGACGCATAATGAATAAAACAGGTGATGCAGATCAACTACATGCTGCTAGGCTGATTGTTCTCGCCCGCCCCCGGATCGAGATAATTCTCCTTCTCAGCCGCCTCGTACTCGCCGACCAGGTCCATGACGACGGCCTTGGCCTCGTCGAACTCGCCCAGGCCGTCCGCGAACGGCGGCTCCTTTTTGTACTGCTCCAGGAAGGCGTTGCGCTTGCGCAGCCGGTCGTACTGCTGCACGATGCGCTTGAAGAGCGTCGCCACCGACGTGTGGTTCGCCAGCATCAGGCCGCTGACGCGGTGCGTGTGCTGGATGTACGGCGACTTCTTAGTCAGCGCTACCTGGATGCTTGCCGGCCCCCAGGGGATGAACGACGCGAGACGCCGCTCGCGGATCCGCAGCAGCGACTTGTGCACGTCCGTCGGGTCGGCTTCGCCCTGGATGATGTTCAGGATGCTGATGTAACAGCTCGATTTGCTCGGCGTGATCGACACCATCCGGTTCTTTGGCTGCAGCAGCCGCCGCATGACGTCGAGCACTGTCGTCTTCCGGACCGTCTTGGCCTGTTCGATGTTGTCGCCCGTGAACGGGGTGTAGGATGTGATGAGGAAGTGGCATCGCGGCGTGGGGATCAGCGAGGCGATGATGCCGACGAGGTCGTTGTGCATGTAGCCGGGGTATCGGAGCGTGGTCGTCGATGCGGACATGACCGTCGACACCTATACCAATCAGTTGGCCATAATGCAATCGAAGATGTGTTTTATCAGCATACCAGTTGGTTAGTCTGCTGGAACGACGGCTCCTGCACGTGGAGTCGGTCGGCGACGATCCTCGACAGTGCGCCATTGTCCAGAACGACCTGACAAGTGAGCATACTGAATTCACATAAACTTCCGTCAAACTCACCACCGAGTCCGCATTCTGCGTCAACCGTCTCATCGCCAGAAGACTGTTGTACGGATTCACCACGACGTCCGCCGACTGCGTGTCCGGGAAGACCGAGTACGTCTGGATGAGCTTCTTGGGGAAACGGTCGTTCATCCGCTCGAGGAGGTAGCTCCCCAGGCCGGAGCCAGTGCCTCCAGCGATCGAGTGCAGCAGCATGAAACCCTATGCAGGTCAAGTCAACGTGAGTTCCAACGGACTGGCTGGAAGGAACGCACCTCCAGCGAATCACTTCCATCTGCCTCTCGATCGATCATGTCAAAGATCTCCTCCTGCACCACGTCGCCTGCCGCATACCCAGCGGCCCAGTTGTTCCCTGCGCCAATGCCTTGTTTCCCGACGAAGAAGTTTTCGGGGTTGTAGATGTTTCGATACGGTCCGGTTTGGATGCCATTGATGACCTGGCCATAATCAGATCAGTTAAAATTCCACAGGCAAACCGGAAGAGCCAGAAGAGTCATACCCTGGGCTCCAAGTCGAGCAGTATTGCGCGGGGAATATATCTCGTATCATCACTCTGTAGCCCTCGTATCAATAAACCGATCTCAGATGGCCAAGCATGCGTCCAATCGAGGATGTACCTGGTAGAAAAACACGTCCTTGCGATCACCGCCCTCGGTCGCAAACTCCTCCAGGTTGCCGTCCTGGCTGATGCCATGCTCCAGACAGAGCTGCTGCCAGAACTGGCTCCCGACTAGTCGACGTGTCAGTCGTCGATTCTGGATCCTGGCGTGGGTGCGGGGTGGTCGACGTACCGTTGTTGCCGCATTGGCCGGCTTGGATCGTAATGATTTCCCTGCGAAGAAGGCATTAGCAGGCGGATCTATACACAATAGTAGGCTCTCAACGCGATGAAGTGGCGCATACCTGGGCATCTTATCGTTGGGTCATATCGAGCGTGGATGTCGAGGTGGGAGTGGTGCGCACGCGTGGATTCACGCGTTTTGGCGCGAAGGGTTGTTGGTCGATGGCCCGCAAGCAAATCGCAGCGGTCCCGGTGTTGTTCAGGAGATGGTCGACGTCTGCAGCGATCCTTATGCACGGAATGCTGACGAAACCAATCAGTACGGGGATGGGCTGTTTCCTGCGCTGGCAGCAAGTGAGGTTGAGCAATGGGAGATGCGGCGGTGAGATGCGATAAGTGTTCGCTTATCCGCTCTCCACATGACCTCCGTAAAGGTGCACGTCGACGAGATCTTCAACACAATTTACATGGTGACGTTTGACTATTTTACGGAGTAAATTTTCTCTACCTGTTCGTAATTAATTACATCGTATTTATACGCTAATTGCTACATCTACATAATGCAAACCAGGTATCATAGGTATCATAGCAACTGCTCTAGAAGCCCGCCTTGCACGCATTCACCAGCAACCCAATGCCTGCGACGACGCCGTCGACAATGTGGACATTGTGCCCCTCCACCTCGCCGTAAGCCTTGATGCAGCCCTCTCGCACCGCCTGCTCCATGCCGGCCATCCCCGCACAGCCCATGCAGACGGCGCCCACCGGAGAAGAACTGCCCTTGAGAAGCCTCTCGGTCGCGTCGCTGATCCTCCTCCTGACCTCGTCGGGAGGCGTGTCATGCAGCTCGCCGGCTGTTAGACCGGTCGTTTCGACGCCCGCAAATCGAGTCGTCGCACTGGCACTCTGCCCTTGCTTCTCCGCAGGCCCAGCGATCATCTCCGTGACCGCCTTGGTGAGCTCCGGTTTCCAGACACTGCCCGTCGTGACGATGCCAAACGTGTCGGGCGCCTGGACCTTGTGGTGGAGATTCCAGTCATCCAGCAGCCGGAAGGCGCCGATCAGCATCAGAGACGCGCTGACGCTGGCCTCGAAGATGCCCGTCACGTATTTCCGTCTTCGCAGCGATCCGAGGAGGGACGTTGACCCATCCTGCCGGGCCTTGGCCTCCAGCACCTGGATGGTGTGCCTTAGCATCCCGACCAGCGGGTGCGCCGAGTAGCAGGCCACGAGGAAGCCGTCGTACTTGGGGATGAGGGGCTCGACGAAGGGCCGGCAGTGCAGCGCCGATCTGGCCGCGTCGTCGCCCGAGTTGATGCTCGGGATGCCGTCGACGACGCGGCCGTCTGGCAGGGTGACGGGCGTGGCAGGCGCGGTGAAGTAGTCGAAGTGGACATCGGGATAGTGCAGGTTCTCGACAATGGGTTTGAGCGCATCGGTCATGTGGGTGGAGGTGTTGGGATTGATGATCAGGATCGAAAAGCGCGTCGAGGCAGCCATTTCGACTACACCCGCTGTCAGCAGATTATACCAGGCTGGTTCCTACCTGTCCATGGTTGTAGATGTGAGATGTGCTGGATATCATCGCATGTCGTATATATACAGCGCAGTGCACGATCACAACCTCGGATCGGCTGCCCTTTCCGTTCGGGGAGAGCATCGCTGGTCACCTGACCGGCAAGCACGCGACGTGTATCCCGATCGGGCAGTCCGCTGATAACGGTCATTCTCGCATGCTGTCCAACTTCCTGGAGAAACACCATCATGCCTAGTCTGAACTGACAGATGTCGCGCAGAAACATCAGAAATCCAGGAATGACGCGTCAAATGCGACGTATCAAGGTCATGTACTCACTTCTCATCCATGTTTCTTGGTTGTAGTCGCAAGTCTATTGTCCATGCTGATGGAACTACTAGTGACGAGACTCATGGTCTGATGACCCTTTCTGGACTGCTCTCTTAGTCCTCTTTTGGTCAGGTCTTCAATTCTAGTAGCTTTGGTTCTTGCTATGCTTCAGTCCTAAGCTACTAATCGATAATCATATTTTGGACCCATGGACCCGTCCTTTCAGGCACCACTCCAACCAGGTAGACTCGTCCTCTTACACCCCTGTCATCACAATGGAGAAGGATTTACCTCTAGCACTCGCCACATATGGACCAGAAGAAGAGATTCTGTCAAACAGACTGGGTCACAAAGGAAAAACCTAGGTTATAGAGTGAACCTAGTGTGAATGATAGCTGCTGCCCAGGTTGACAGATTCCAACTCAAGATTGGAATGTTGCTATCGCTCCCCCGATCCCGGCCAGTGGTACGTTGTCCGCGTCTGCAGGAATCTAGGCGCCGAAGACGGGTCGCTGCCGGATCCCGGTTGGGAGCGGCAATGCACACCGGGGTATACGCTGATGCCATGGCGAACTGACATCTGGGATCAGACAGGTGGGAGGAGCTTACCGGCTTCTCCCTCCCGGCTTCTATGCGGCTATCCATGAGCTAGGCCTACTGCTTGCACAGATCTTGGAGGTAGCTAACCTGGAGGTAGGCACCAGAGTATGTATGCAGGAAATTGAGATAGATGCAGCTTTGGAAGTCAAAGCCAGTTCGTGGTTTAGTCTTACAGCTGGTGACCACAAGTGTACATTATCTTGCTAATCTCTACCTAATATATCTATCATCACATCACACCTTCGGCTTCGGCTTGAAGAGCGCCTCCTGCGTGTCATAAGTATACTTCAAATCCAGATGCCAGTAATTAGCCGTGGTCGGCTTGGTGATCAACCACGCCTGGTCCAGCACGGCCACGACCTCGTCCGGCAGCGGCCCCTTCTCCAGATCGCGGAGGTTGCTCTCAAGCTGGGCGAAGCTGCTGACGCCGATGATGACGCCGTCATTGCCGCCATCCTTGATGTTGAGCGCCGAGTGGTGCACGAGCCAGCGCAGCGCCGTCTCGAGCAGCGTCAGCCCATGCTTCTCGACCACGGGCTCGATCAGCCGCAGCGCCTCGAACGTCGCGTCCTTGAAGTACCGGTTGCGGTAGTTGGGGCCCGTGCTGTTCTTGTCGCTGTACCGGCCCTCCTCCGGGATGATGTCCTTGGACCGGTACTTGCCCGAGAAGATGCCTCCGGCTAGAGGGTTGTACACGACGATTTCGATCCCGTATCGCCGGCAGGCGTGGATGAGTTCTGTCTCGATGGAGCGGGCTGAACCAGACGTATGTCAGGAGGCTGTTCACGCTATAGCATCAGAGGGCAACACTCACTGATTGCGTTATACATGGCCTGGTAGATAGTCGGACGCACCCAGCCCCTCTCATTGCACAACGTCACAATCTCCGCGACCTCGAACGCGGTGTAATTGCTGAGGCCTAGCTGGACGAACTTGCCCTCGCGGTGGAGCTTATCGACCTCCTCGAGGGTCTCAGCGAAAGGCACAGAGCGGTCAGGCGCATGGAGGTAGAAGATATCAACGCGGTCAGTACCAAGCTCCTTGAGCGAAGTCTCGAAATGCCGACGCAGGACATCCGGCTTGTGCGTGCCAGGCTCCTTGGGATACACCTTGGTAGCGAGCTTGAGGCCGCGCTCCTTCCAGCGCGCCTGGCGCGTGAAGCCTTCCTGGGCGCCGCCGACGTAGACGCGCGCCGTGTCGACCTCGTTGTACCCTTGCGCCTGGAAGTAGTCCAGGTGGCGGTTGAGCTCGTCCAGGGAGGTGATGCGGCCGCCTTTGGTCTCGTCGGGGCCAAAGGTCATCAGCCCGAGGATGATGCGGGGTTTGGCGTTCTGCGCGACGAGGGGCATGATGATGATTGAATTTGGGTATCAAATAGAAAAAAAAAATAATATACAGAATAAGACAACGTAGGACAACGAAGTGAAGCAGAGAGGGGCGGTTGCGGGGAAGAGAAGAGAGAGTGGTGGAGGGGTTTATCAGGTATTTATCAGCACTGATATCGTATCGGCTCTTCTTTCTCCCAGGACAATTCAATTCAATCAATCAATTCAATCAATTCAATTGAATTCAGACAGCTAATTAGCTGCACCAATGGATATTAAGAACTTCGCAACAATCAGTCTAACAAAGTCAATCGGTCGATATCCCGGGGCGATGGCGTCACGCTGCATTAGTAATTAACACAGCCAATCGAGGGGATTATTATTGTGGGGAATGGTCAGCAACTTGCATTTGTCATTTCTATTTGTATATCCAGTAGTGTAATACTGAAGCCAGTTAAAAAAATATGTGAGTCTTTACCCTCCTTGAAATTCGTAGTATGCGATAGTCTACTACTAAGATGCAGCTATAGTCTACATGTATGTACAGTACATACTATTGTACTGTACAATTGAGTTTGAACGTGACAGAGGGGGGGGAATGAAATTGTCATTTTTTTTTCTTTTCAAAGATTCTTAAAGACTAGGTATGTACTTTTAGTTAGTCTGATAGGATTATTCCATTTACAGAGAAGTTATATGTTAAGTAGTTGAAATATTAGTTTAATAAATAAATTAATTAATTGATAATTAGTAATAAAGAGAACCGTCCTTCTAAGGTAAGAAAGACTACTTGTATGTTAGACTCTATGGTAAAAGGACGGAGCGGAGAGCAGTTACCTGGGTAGGTAGGTAGTTTGTAATTATACTCTTAATTAACGAGGACTATGAGTATGATTTACAACTTGTTGGAACTAGTCTAGAAAGGATTCTATTTATTTATTTCTTTTCTTTTTTTTATTTAAAACCTTCTAAGATTGGTATTGGTAAACAGAATTCTTTATTCTATAATAAGTAAAAAAAAAAGCAAGCTACTGAATCGGACTACTATCTACTTTACGGAAGAATATAGGTCAGTTTAAAACCAATTTAAATTCTTATATTCGTATGATATAATCATGGCAATTATGCAATTCTCACTGGTAGTTCATGCTCACCCCGATAACTCTACCACGTCTGGATGGAAGGATCCTCGCGCAGAATCCAACTCGGTTTTTCCAGGTGATGCTTGCTGCTGCTGCTGCTGCTGCTGCTGCTGCTGCTGTTGTTGTTGTTGTTGTTGTTGCTGTTGCTGCACCATACTCTGAACCCGCTGCTGATCAGAATAGTCATTGCGCTTGCGAGGATGCACCATGCGGAAGACAACGAGCCCAACCAGGACGAGAAGCAGGAAGCAGGCTGTCGAGCCGATTGCGATTCCTGCTTTGGCGCCGGCGGGGAGTAGGCCAGAGGAACTTTCAGAGGAGCTTTCAGAGGAACTTGCAGAAGAACTTGCAGAGAAACTTCCAGAGGAAATTTCACTGGTTGTCGTGGGTGTAGATGTGATGAGATCGGTGGCTTGCCATCGGATCGCTACGCCATACGCATTGTACTCTCCCACGTCAGTCAAGTGGCAAGTGCGTCGTACGTCGTCACTCTAGACTCACATAGGGACGGGCCGAGACACAGGGCATAGTCCAGAACCAGGAATTGGCAGGTTCGGTCTGGAAACTGTAGTCACTGAAGCATCGACGGTGGTTAGCAAATAATAAAGTCAGTGCATTTTCTGTCGCATACCTAGGACAACACGTCGCTCTCGTCTCCTCCAAAGAAGCAATATTCACAGTCGTCGAGCACGCAGTATAGTATCCCGACGGACAGAACCCCGGCGAGAAGTACGCGGTGGTCGCCGAGTCCCAGCCCGAAGGCAGACATGCCAATATGTCTGACACGCTCGACGGTCCGAGCCAGAAGCATGACGCTAAGTGGGCTCCGTCTATGCCGTTATTTGCATAGGACTTCCGTGAGACAGGAGCGAGCCGGCGAGAAGGTCGTGGTCAGCGTTGGGGGGGGGGGGGGGTNTAGTTTGGGGCGACATTTTGGCAAGATCTGCAAAAACTCGACAGAGTATTCTCGAAGGATTGACGAAGGAGAAGGTTGAAGATAAGAAGGAGGTGAGGAGTGACCAAGTCAGGTTAATTTCGAATAAATCTAAGACAGCTATCCAAATCGGTTTCTGCAGTGAACAGAATTGGCAAGCAGTGCAACATAAACATTCTTCTACTTCGTTGCAATTGGGTGGTGCCTTATGCAGAGATGAACCCCTGAATTGTGTTACCTTGCACAAGGCTAGAAGTCAGCCAAAAGGAGAAAAGGAAGGAGACTGCGTGGAAATCCACATTATATGTAGATACAGATATACACAGAGTTGTAGATCAGTTCAGTTAAGAGATCAACGTACTTCGCCTGCAAACTAAGTCAGTATAGGCCAATAACTAACCCTAAGTAATCAAGAGAATCAAGAGCTGGATTAGAGTGCAATCCAAAATCCCTCTTATTCTTTAGACCGCTAACGTGATAATTAGAGAGGTATTTCTAGAAAGTGCACATTTAGAATTGGCACAAAGTTTAAGGAGCTCAGTTGGAGATGAGTAGTATATCGAAATCAAAGAATCGACTTTTATGACTGAACGTAAGAAGGAGTAATGTCATAAAAAAAAAACTAATCTGGGACACAACTTGGAATATAATAAGAAAATATTCCGTTCATGGTTGTCCTCGGACGAATCTATGAATAGGAACTTTTTCGTCACCTGCAAACTTCCAGTACACAGCAATATTGCTTCCAGGCACCCATATTATTCTCAAACGGATACTTATCCTATCCATAATTAACTAACTCCTTTCGATTGTACAGTTACATTTCAGCTCGATTTACGGAGTAGTTCAGTTCAATTTGCGCATTGCCACTAATTAGGCAACCGTGTTATTGTTTCAACCAACCGTTTCATTTTCTTTTCTCCAGGATGGAGGGGGAAAAAAAACAAAAGTTGTCCATATCCATATTAGTAGATTCTTAGGGCTGACATGCATGTCATTTCTATTCTTGGAAAGAATAGGCATAGGCATCTTTAAGGTAGCATGTGGCTTGTTTTTGTTTTTTCTCTCTCTTTTTTTTGTTGCCTAAACAAGCTGTTTACGTACTGGACATAATTGGATGTCAAGCTGAGAAACTGCCAAAAATCTCAAAATAGCATTGCAGAGCAAGTTAAGCGACTTTCTTCTGTCTTCGATCTTCTTTTCGTTCTTTTTTCCTTCTTTTTATTAATTTATTTATTTATTTTATTTTATTTTTATTAATTAATTAATTTATTCTTTTAGAAAAAAATAAAAGTCTGGCTGCGTACTAGATTCCTAACTCAAGTTTTCTTTTCCCCCCCTTTTCTTGTGGATTATTATTATTTTTCTGTGTCTGGGGTAATGAAATAAACGTACAGCTGGGTGGGGCTTAATTAACACTGCCTGTCTGTATGAACTAGCAATCCAACGAGGTACAATTCCTTGCCAATTTCCAATTTGGTGGTGAGAGAAATGAATAGATTATTAGACGACCAAGCCACCGTGTAGGCTGTAGGTATGTGGCTATGTAGGGCTAGGTTACTTCATTTTCTCCATCTTTAACGGGTTTGTCAACATCTATAAATTTCAACAAGTCGTCAATAATGCTGATGGCTGTCAATACAATCCCATCTCTTCACCTCTTTTCTGCAAGATAATAATAATTCTTACCATGATGCGGTGGATCGCAGTTTCAGGGCTGATCGTGACTCTCGGTAAGAACGCTTGCGATAACCCTAACTGCTGCAACGCTTGCTAATTGCCTTTTTCAGCCGCCTACGGCGAATGCTACAATTCCACTGCCGTCGAGCAGCAGCTGGCCGAAAGCTATGCACCGATAACTGTTGCCTGTCCCTCCGATGTCGAATGGATCCGCCCTGCTACCGGTCTCAACCCCAAGGAGAGAGACTGGGTGTACGGGCGGAAAAAGACCGTCCTCTTCGCCCTCGGCGACTATCTGGACCGACTGGACATGCAAGACTTTGACGTCGGCGAGTACATCTGCCGTCTCCGCGAGAATGACTACGTCCACGTCCCGACCATCGGGTTTGCCATCAGCGGTGGCGGCTGGGCGTCGGCCCTGACGGGGACTGGGGCCCTGCGCGCGCTGGACTCGCTCGAGGCTGCCAGAGAGCAGGGCACCGGAGGCCTCTTGCAGAGCATGACATACATCTCCGGCCTGTCTGGCGGTGGATGGCCGGTCATGTCCTTTGCAGCGCACAATTTCCCTACTGCGGACGAGATCCTCGTCCGGTGGCAGCCGCAGATCAGCCGGTTGTTTGCGCAAAACAACTCACAATATGCGGCCACGGGCGAGTCTATGTTCGAGGATCTGGCAGCCAAGGCCCAGGCGGGCTTTAATGTTAGTGTTGCCGACTACATGAGCCGCGCGTGGTCGTATGAATTCGTCCCCGGCCCCCATGGAGGCCTCAACGTGACCTTGTCCAGTATCGCGAAGCTCAGCAACTTCGTCAACCATCAGATGCCGATGCCGTTGTTCCAGGCGCCCTTTGTCGTGGACCAGGACGTGGAATACTATGGCATCAAAGTGCCGTTCAAGAATAGTACGGTGGTGAGTGACCTCCCAGCGGTAGACTCGTTGGATCGCTAATCGCTAAGCACCGCGTTATTAGTACGAATTCACGCCGTTCGAGTTCGGCAGCTGGGACGAGTCCACGCAAGCATTCACCCCGATGGAATGGCTGGGGACTGCCCTGGACCAGGGATCCGTCGTAAACGCGAGCGCGTGCATTTGATCGAGCCGGGTATATCATTCTCTCACACCGGATGATGTGGGCCAGGCTAATTCTGTCTTCAGGTTCATCATGGGCACGGCAGGCGGCGCGTTCAACTTCTGGTACATCGAGGACCGCTCGAATGGCACACTGGCACAATTTGACAAGCGAAGATCATCATCATCATCAATGACATCGTCCCCCGAGGCGGTCTTCCCCGAGGCCGACATCGAAGCGCTGGTTTAAGGATTCATGCAACATTCCGCGAATCGCTGAGCCAGATATCGTACGCCTGGTACCCCAATCCGTTCGCGGATCTGGCGTCCGTCTCGTCAGACATCCGGTATTCGAGCAGCCTGAGACTGGTCGATGGCTCCGAGAACGGGCAGGCAAGCCCCCTGTGGACGCAGATCCAACCGGCGCGGAATTCCAGCTTCATCATCGCCTGGGACGACAACACGGATGCGCCGCCGTACTTCTGGAACAACGGGACCAATCTGTACAACACCTACCTTCGCGCGAACGAGACGGGGATCCCGTTTCCCATCGTGCCCTCAGCATCGACGTTCATCGCCCGCAACTACACGACTCGCCCCGTCTTCTTCGGCTGCGACGCCAACCTGACGACGACCAGGGATGCGCGGGCCCCGATCGTGGCGTACTTCGCCAACGCGTCGTACAGCGCCTACACGAACATGACGTTCATCCAGACCAACACGTCCTTTGCGCAGGTGCGCGAGATCTGGGTCAACAGCTTCAACCAGATGACCCAGGCCAACGGCACGCTGGACGGCGAATGGCCCGTCTGTCTCGGCTGCGCGGCCATCGAGGGGAGTCTGGCCAAGGTTGGCTTGCGGCGGACGGAGCAGTGTCAGCGGTGTTTTGACCGGTATTGCTGGGATGGCGTTGCGGTTGAGGAGCAGCCTGGCACGGAGGTCGTGGATCCGTCGTTGGTGCTTGACCCTGAGTTGGGATTCTTGGAGTGGGTGAAGACGAATCCGTTTGGGACGAAGAAATAAAGATAGACGAGTTTATTTATGGTTAGGTGTGAATAGTAGACTATAGAGGAGTTATCTAATAATAGCATGCTTTAGTCGTTTATATAAAAGATATGTATTCCCTCTCGTCTTTTCAAGGGGTACGCATCGTACAGATGAGCTGCTCAGCTTGCTGACTTGTATTCTATAAAAAACTAGCTTTAATATATTAATTTGATAATAAGGCATAATTATAATAATAACTCAAACTGACTTCAGATCAATCCTTCTGATCTTCCAGCTTCAGAATCTCCTATACTGCTAATCTAATAACTACTATCTATTAATCATATAGCATCTACACAACTTTCAACTAGATATACTAGATACTTGGAAAAGGTAACCGGAGTATAATATCAAGTATACTAATACCATACTACATATATAGCCCATCTAGACTCTTTCTCCAAGAAGAATCTGTATCTAGTTATAGCACTCCCTTGGTAGTAAACCATCCAGTAGAATATAATAGGTATACGCGATATAACGACTCCTACAGCGGATACTTCATACCCGGCTTAACCAGGCTCACAATCTTCCTCTCCGTAAACTCCTCCACCCCAGCCATCCCTCCAAACCGGCCGTATCCGCTGCGTCCCCCCGTTCCCCCGTTGGGCAGCGTCGGCTCAATGTACACCGTCGGCCCGTTGACATGGCAGCTGCCGGCGCGGATCTGCTGCGCCAGCTCCATGCCCCTGAGCACGTCGCGCGTGAAGACGCTCGCGCAGAGCGAGTAGTCCGAGTCGTTGGCCAGGTCGACAGCTTCTTCCTCCGAGTCGGCCCGCGTGATGCACAGGATGGGCCCGAAGCTCTCCTCGCGGAAGATGGCCATGGACGGCTTGACGTGGTCGAGGACGTGCGGCTGCAGGATCGTCTTGTTGGGGCCAGACACGCTGCGGTCGCCGAAGAGCAGCGAGGCCCCGTTGGCCAGCGCGTCGTCGATCATCGCCAGGATGCGCTGTGGCGCTGCCGGGCAGTACAGCCCTCACAGGTTGACTGTCGGGTCTTCGAGGTGGTTGCCTACTTTGATCTCCTTGACCCGTGCCAGCAGCAGCTGGATGAACTCGTCGGCGACGTTCTTGCGGATGATGACTCGCTCGGTGGACCTGCAAGTGTCAGAGTGTCTGTCTCATCGCATATTCTGTGCTCTGTGGTACACGTACATGCAGATCTGCCCGCTATTCGACAGCGCCCCAAAGAGAATCGCATTCACGGCGTCCTCCAGATTTGCATCTTCGAGCACAACGACCGGCGCCTTGCCGCCCAGCTCCAGCAGCGTCTGCTTCAGACACTGCGCGGCCCAGCCGGCGATGATCCGGCCAACGCGGTCGCTGCCCGTGAAGTTGATCTTGCGAACGAGCCGGTGCTTGACGGCGAATTCGGTCACGGCCGGCGCGTCCTGCGCGCTGGAGGGCAGGAAATTGACGCAGCCGGGAGGCAGCCCGGCCTCTAGGAGGGCGCGAACCACCAGGTGCTGCGACTTGGGGCTGTACTCAGACGGCTTGAGGACGACGGTGTTGCCGCAGATGAGGGGGGTGGCGATCGCGCGAGCGGTGAGGTTGACCTGAGTCAATTAGCCTATATGCATATATAGGGTACTGGGGTATTTACCGGCGCATTCCACGGACTGATGGCAAAAATCACGCCGACAGGCTCCCTCTTGACGAGGATGGTCGTCCCCGGCCGGTCCGCGGGGACAATCTCGCCTTTGATGTGGGTGACCAGACCCGCACTCTCGCGGAGGATGGCGGCGGAGGCGAGGATATTCAGCCTGACCCAGGACGGCACGGCCGAGACCTCGCTCGAGAGGATGGCGGGGGGCAGTCCTGGTCGAGGTAGGAGGTCAGGATGTCGGCCGCGCGGAGGAAGATGAGGCGGCGGGCGGACGGGGTGGTCTGGGACCAGGACTTGAAGGCGTTGTGGGCGTGCTGGATGGCGGATTCGTAGTCGTCTGTCCCTGCGGCGGCGCATTCGTAGAGCGCCTCGCCGGTCAGGGGGTTGGAGACGGTGAAGGTCTTGTTGGACGCGGCGGGGATGTCATTGCCGTTGATGTGGAGGAGGAGGGGGTGATGGAGGGTGGTCATTTCGATAGGAGAGAGTACTACAATATACACATGCGGTTGTAGATTTTAAAATACTATGCAGTTCTCTTCTTCATAGCTCCTTAAGGTCAATTAAATACTCAGCAGGATATAGACAAGGATTACATTTAACCGACGTGGGGGATCGGAGACATGCAGCCGGAGTGTGGAGAAGCGGGGATATCCCGACTAGCAGGAGAATTGTTCTCGTGGTCTGACTTTTTATATAACTTACATATATATTATATATAAATATATATACTATATATTATGAAATCATGACCATAACCGTACAACACTTATTTCGTAAAAACCCCTTAAACGCCGCCATTAAGCTTGTACGGCCATTTCTGGCCATGGGCCGTCTGCAAGAAACAGAGGTAGAGCAGATTCTTGAACCAGCACTAGAAGCATCACCGTTAGCCACTGCGCTTGACCTGCAGAGAGGGATCTGGGGGGAATACCTCTTGATCGCACCCATATACGTATTCGATGTCTTTTCCGGGCTTGCTAGGCCACGCGGAATACGCGAGATCCAGATCACAGTACGGGATGTTGAACATGAGGTTCTTCGGCGGGGGGGTCTTGGAATTGAAGAAATTCAACGCCGACTTGGGATCCCAGTTCTTCAGGTATCCTCCGGCACTCTGTGACGCGGCGGCCGCGTTGGCGACGTCGATGGGGTCCATGCCCCAGTCAGTCAAGTTGTTGACGCCGGGCACTGCGGGCCACTGCTCGTAAATCTCCTGCCATACGGAGTTTTTGACGTAGAAGTAGGCGGTGCCAGTTTTCGTGTCGCAGAATTTGGCGATGTCATTGTACTTGCTGTTCATCTGCAGATCGCAGGGCTTGACTCCGTAGAGGGGCTTGGACATCTTGACGACATAGACCTGCTCCTGGACCCAGAGGTACGAGATGGCGCCACTGTACAAGGCCGCTTTGGCACTGGCCTGCATCGTTGGCACCTTGCTTGCGGGGATCTGCTCTGCAAAGGTCCCATTCTTAAGGGCCATTGGCACCCCATTGGGGTCTTCTGAATAGAAGATGTTCTTTTGGGGGTCATTCTGTGGTATCGAGGTGAGCGCTTTAATCCCATAGCTCTGGATCGCGTCCTGCATGCGACCGGTTGCATTTGAAAGGTAGTGGGTGACAGCAGCGAAGTCACTAAACTGGGTCTCCAGTCTGTTATCTCATATTAGCATTCATACTTCACCCTCTCATTTTTTTTCTTCAAGGGGGTCTCACGAATTAGCGAGTTCGTAGTTTATTTGGCTTATACCACCATTGACCACACCAAGCATAGCGCTACTGCCGCCAACCGCGATGCCAGCCTCTTCGGACACGGGGCCCAGGAAGGCACTAAAGGCGCCTAGGATTGCAGAGATGATGGCGAGGGGTGCTTGGTCAATAGTCTAGAGGACGAATTAGAATTGTTCAGCATAGGGTCATGCGGGCAACCTACCGGATTGTTGTGGTTAGAAGTAAAAATTTGTGTTAAGTTCCAGCATCCCCACTAACATAATTGTAGGATTCATCTAGGGCACTCATCATATTCAAGAGAAAACCGTTGAAGTTAACAATCGCTTCCAGAATAAAGTAGTAATAGGCGTTGGCGCCTTTCTTGCAATCCTCGACGGAAGGCTGGAAGCTACATGACATCCAGCCCGGGATCCGAAAGAAGATAATTATTAGCAAGGGAAAAAAAAAAGGTAACGCATACGGATGCACATACGGTTGGCAATAAAGTCCAAAAACGCCGGTGCATAGATTCTGGATGGATCTTTGGAAATCCGTCTTGTATGGTCCTAATTTACTTCCCTGGTAGAACTGATTCGCACTGTGGCCGGACCGAGTGAGCCAAAATCCTGGTTGGATCTGTTCGGGCAAGGAGACTTACACTGTCTCCACGAAAATGTCCATGCCAAACTTCTCCCAGTTGGCCTTGGTTTGCTGGTTGATATTCCCACACATGATGGTTACGTCGAGTGCGGGATTGGTTTCATTGCTCCGTGGGTAGAATCTCTCGAGCTGATTGGGAGAAGGAGGGTCATGGCCACCGGGCAAAGCATACGCAGTGAGGGCTGTTAAACATGTTAAATCTGGACATGCTCGACGTTGCACGGGATGGACGAACCTAGTGTTGCCCCGTAAAGGAGAGAAAGACGCATCGTATCTGTCTACCTTGGCTGGAGGGAAGTCGTGATGTTCTGTTTAAAAAGAAAAACGCACAAGAGTCAGGCCGCAGCCGCGGTGTGATCTGCTTTCGTTTCCAGCAGGGTTGATGATCCCCCTAAATAGAAATGGGATATCCCATTAATCTCCCTGATCAACGCAGAGGCTCTCCGCATTGACGGAGTCGTGCCAAGTTCAACAACGTTAGGATAGATCGGCAACCACGCGCAAGATCTCCATGTGGAGATGGGCCAGCCAGTCAGAATGGACCGGTTTCAGCAAGCGTGCAGAGGAGGAATCCTTCGAGAACCTTGGAAGGCCTGTCATCGAATGACAGATGTCAGAGAAACCAACCGCCCCCATTAGAGGATCCGCCAGGATCCGCCCCAGATTTGACCCCCAACGATGGTGCATGAGGTTCAATTTTGGATATTTCCTGAAGGAATGGTGGCGTGGTGATCAGTGGCCAGACGGTGAAACCTGGATTTTAGCCTGAATAAGATGGCGAGCATGCGAGCAGCACCCTGAACCAATAACCTCATCTGGTGCAAACGCCGCTAGAGGATGGCAGCCATGGCAGCCATGTGCTTAGCAAATCTGAGAACTCTTGGCTCATCCAGATCGTCAAAGAATGCATAACATTCGCGGCATTCGCTCACATGCCTCTTGCAATCTACGGAGTACTCCGTACATGTGAGTGTCCTCCGAGATCGTTTGCAGGCACATGAGATGACAGCTGGACATACTCGTATTGGCGTCTCCTAACGCATTGGCCATGTCGGGTATCTATACACTGTAGTGGACGGAGTAGTCTACAAAGTTCAACTGAGATAACAGAGCATAGCCAATCAGAAGCTGTTCCGCTGGCGTAATCCTGGCTGCGGCTCGTGCCGGCGGCAACCTAATTTAAGACTACGCTAGTACATACTCGGCTAGTGTCATTTCAAATTACGCTAGTAATAGCGTAGTAACAGTCCTAACAATATAATAAAATCAGGGTCATTGAGGTAATACGTGGTAATCATGATGTATTGAAAAGGATAATCAAAAACAATGATTTCCCTTCATAAATGATATCCTGAGGTCTAAAATTCCCACATTTTTCCTGTATTAGCTTTCTTTCCTGGATAATAACTATTTATACGAGCCAACGCGGATATCCTCGGCCTGATTGGCTCCAAGCCCTGATTCTGCAGGCGGTTCCTACAGTAATGAAGACACCGAACAGCCAATCAATGACAATACGGAGTGCTCCGAGTCTCCGACAGAGTACGAAGTACAAAATTAGATTAGATAGCACTGCCAACAGAGTATTAGGTACAGTATAGACGTAAGAGATGAAAAATTAAGACTTGATAAAGTGATAATATTGAAAACGTCTGGATTTGATTTTGTCTTGTTTTTTTTTTCTCTTTATTTATTTTTCTATTTATTTATTTATTTTTGACGTCTGATTAAACCCTTGTCTACCGCTGACATCACTCGCTACCAAAAAAAGCAAATCGCATCGCCATTCGCCAACAAGTAGCTCCGCTCGCGGAGTTCTCCGCAATGGTGGCTGTCATCACTGCCCAATCAGATCGCGAGTTATCCAAGATGAAACAACGGCCATGTTGTCAGTCATGACGAATTACGAATAGCAGTGGGTCTTCGCCAGCATTAGCATCATGTACCTACATACATACTTGTATGGAATTCTTAGCCCGTTCTAGAAATCTCATACTGCAGCTCCCTCGTCCTGATCTACAGCTGGCCCGTGCTGGATGGATGACCTGCAGGCCGCCGCAGTCCAAAAGTCCAAACTGTTGGACCGAAGGAAGGGGAAGGGGGAGCGATTAGAAGGATGATGTTCGTCATATGAGATGATTTTGGGGGCAGCAAGGCATTCATTTTGGCCCCTTTGAAGTATACTCTGTTTCACGAAGGAGTGTCCATGCACTGGATGCACGTTGATACGTTGCATTCAACTGGGTCATGTCAACAATTTCTAGAAGATGTCATCGAAGCAACCGCAGGACTGTTGACCAGGTTCGAATTCGGCTTGGCTGGCTTGAATGAGATGAATAATTTGTTAGCCGCGAGGGGGAATAACCGCCCAGGGGAAAAAAGTGGCATAAGCTTCCAACAGAGAGGAAACCTAATTGATGTTTGAATCCAGTGGAAGCTGGCTTGGCTATTGACGTGTTGGTGGATAAGGTTGATGCAGAAACAGAATGGAAGCGAACAGTCTATACGTCAGACCATATCTGTGTATGTGGATAGCAACAGCTATCGGGTGGCTATCCGATGTTCAATCTTGTAGCTTGAAACAATCAATTAACTTTAACTATAATCCAGAGTCTTGAGTCTAGACCAGTGGCCTTGGACTAGAAACACTATCTACTCGTATGCAAGACTAGCTAGCTGAAATTCAGTCGGCTTGACACTATTATGTACCTATATCATCTAGCTACTCTGTCGGAGACATCCGTCAGTAGATAAATAAGCAGCGGGGGCGGAACTGTATCTTGTTTCAATTAGCGGTAATCCTTCGCTGAGCATCAGCAGACTAACC